TTGTACGAGATGCCCTCCCTCTGGGCAAGAGGAAGGTGAACTGAAAACATCTGCCTTACCTCCAGACAACAGAGCCTGGGACTGTTGGGAAATGAAACCAAAAGAGACCTCAAGAAGCGCGCTAAATCTCCAGCTTCTCATAACACCGTGGCACCTGCGAATTGGTTGGATTTCAACCAGACAGTTGGACACTGGTGGGAGGAGCTGTGTATTGCCTTTTTGATGTAATCCTTTATGCACCAAATCTTTAGACCTTGCTTTGCTCTCTTGCCATCACTAACTCTCAATAAAAGTTCCTTTTGAGACAATACCTGTTTCAAGAATTCTGCTTTCTTGGGAGAACTAGTTGAAGCAAGTCCTTACATATATACTGCTTCACAGTGCTTTCCAGCAGTGGTCCTCAACCCTCAGGCCACAGCCCACTACTGGAATTGGGTCATGCAAGTGGCTGGCCGGAGCACATGTGCATGCACGTACAGTTTGACTTGAATGAATGATAGGCTGGCAGGCACTACATGCACATGTGAGCTCACCACTCATGCAAGTCAAGCTGCATGTGTGCATGCCAGCCTGCCACTTGTGCAAGGGCTGCATGTGCGTATGCAGACCCACTTCTCACAAAATCTAATCCCCCCTCCCCCCAAAGTCAGGCTGCCAAGCTGCAAACATTGGGGATCTCTGCTTTACAGCACTCTCTAAGTGGTTTAGAGAATCAGTATATTTCCCCCAACAATCTGGGTCCTCATTTTAGTGACCTCGGAAGGATGGAAGGCTGAGTCAACCTTGAGCCAGTCAGGATTGAAGGAATTGAACTCCTGGCAATGTGAGCAGAGTTAGCCTGCAATACTGCAATCTAACCACTGCGTCGCCACAGCTCTTCTATTTATCTATTTATCAATCATCTATCTATCTATCTATTTATCTATCTATCTATCTATCTATCTATCTATCTATCTTTATTAGAATTTTTATTATAAGAATTTAATAAAGATAAAAGAAATATGTAAAGGAGTGACTTCCAACCTTCCTCACAATAAGTATAAACAAACTTAGTAACTCTTCACCCTCTCTAAAGTAATAAATGTTTATTTCTTCTTCCCATATTCCATCTCTTATTTATAAAGAAATCCATAAAAATCATCTTTTCAGTCCTGGTGTTAGCAAGAAGTCCATAAAGGACTGGCACAAGTAACAACATAGCTTGTTTTAATCTTGATCAAATAAACCAGCTTTGTATGCCTTCCTTTTTCTTCCAACAGTTTTTAGTTCATTCAAATATTGTAGGATTTGATTTCTCTTCATTTCTTCTTATCCCATTGCACAGAGTTCTATTAATTAATAAGCCCTTTTGTAAATCCAGAAGGAAAAAAAAATATTAGCCAGGTCATGCTTTTGGTTTGTCACTTATATTTGCCATTTAAATTTTAAAGCCTTGGCTAACTGCTTATAATAATAATAATAGTAAAGTTGGAAGGGACCTTGGAGGTCATCTAGTCCAACCCCCTGCTCGGGCAGGAAACCCTACACCATTTCGGACAAATGGCTGTCCATTCTCTTCTTAAAAACTTCCAGTGTTGGAGCATTTACTGCTTCTGGAGGCAGGCTGTTCCACTGATTAATTGTTCTGACTGTCAGGAAGTTTCTCCTTAGTTCTAGGTTGCTTCTCTCCTTGATTAGTTTCCACCCATTGCTTCTTGTCCTGCCTTCAGGTGCTTTGGAGAATAGCTTAATTCCCTCTTCTTTATGGCAGCCCCTGAGATATTGGAACACTGCTATCATGTCCCCCCTTGTCATTCTCTTCGTTAAACTAGACATACCCAATTCTAGCAACCGTTCCTTATATGTTTTAGCCTCCAGTCCCCTAATCATCTTTATTGCTCTTCTCTGTACTCTTCTAGAGTCTCAACATCTTTTTTACATCGTGGTGACCAAAACTGGATGCAGTATTCCAAGTGTGGCCTTACCAAGGCATTAAAGAGTGGTATTAATACTTCACGTGATCTTGATTCTATCCCTCTGTTAATGCAGCCTAGCACTGTGTTGGCCTTTTTGGCAGCTGCAGCACACTGCTGTCTCATATTTAAGTGATTGTCTACTAGGACTCCGAGGTCCCTCTCACAGTTACTACTATTGAGCATGGTGCCACCTATGCTGTACTTGTGCATTTGGTTTTTCTTGCCTAAATTTAGAACCTTGCTTTTTTCACCATTGAATTTCATTTTGTTAGTTAGTGCCCAGTGTTCAAGTCTGTCCAGATCCTTCTGTATCTGAAGCCTGTCTTCTGGAGTGTTGGCTATTCCTGCCAGCTTGGTGTCGTCTGCAAATTTGATGAGTTCCCCATCTATCCCTTCATCCAAATCGTTGATGAAGATGTTGAAGAGTACTGGGCCCAGAACAGAGCCTGGGGCACCCCACTACACACTTCCCTCCATATAGATGCAGTTCCATTGAGGACCACTCGCTGAGTACGGCCGGTCAGCCAGCTACGGATCCATCTGGTGGTGGTTCTGTCTACCCCACATTTTCCTATCTTGTCAAGTAGTAGGTTGTGATCTACTTTATCAAATGCCTTACTGAAGTCCAAGTAAATTATGTCCACAGCATTCCTCTGATCCACTAATTTTGTCACTTGGTCAAAGAATGCAATAAGATTTGTCTGGCATGATCTATTTTTGAGAAACCCATGTTGGCTTTTAGTAATGACTTTGTTTGCCTCTAGGTGTTCGTTGATTCGTTGTTTGATTATCTTTTCCAGGCTCTTCCCAGGTATTGAGGTCAGGCTGATAGGTCTGTAATTCCCTGGATCCATTTTTTTTCCTTTTTTGAGGATGGGAACTACATCAGCTCTTTTCCAGTCCTCTGGTAATTCCCCTGTGTTCCAGGATCTTTGAAAAATATAGTTCAGTGGCTCCGATATTACATCTGCCAGTTCCTTGAGAACTCTGGGGTGTAATCCATCTGGTCCTGGCGATTTGAACTCATCTAGGCTGGACATGTGCTCCCTAACCATTTTCTTGCCTATCTTAACTTGTGTTTCTGTTTTGTTTTTTATGGCACTATTTTTGATAGTTTGGTCTGTTTTTTCCCTTTGTGTAAAGACAGATGCAAAACACGAGTTAAATAGTTCTGCTTTCTCCCTGTTGTTTGTCACCTTCTTGCCACTTCCACCCACTAATGGACCAATCGTTTCCTTCACTTTTTTCTTGTTTTTTACATGTTGAAAGAAGCTTTTTTTGTTATTTGTGACTTTGGTCGCAAGCCTTAGTTCATTTTGAGCCTTGGCTTTCTTCACTTCATCTTTGCAGGCTCGGGCTATTTGCTGATATTCTGACTTAGTTATGTTCCCCTCTTTCCACTTTCTATACTTGTCCTTTGTATCTTTCAATTTGTCAGAGAGTTCTTTATGCAGCCATGCTGGTTTCTTTTGAGAGCTGTTGTTTTTCCTCTTTGTTGGTATTGTGCTAGACTGTGCTTTTATTATCTCATTTTTCAAAATTTCCAAGCTTCTTGAGTTGTTTTCCCCTTGAGGATTCTCATCCATGGAATCCTTCCCAAGCCCTCTCTAAGTTTATTTAAATTAGCTCTCTTGAAGTCCAAGACTCTAGTTTGACTGTGTTCTATTGGTTGTGCTTCTATAATGTTGAATTCTAATATTGCATGATCACTTCCTCCCAGGGTTTGGGAGATCCAATGAAACATTCTTTTGTAGATCCAATGAAACATTCTTTTCTAAGTCATTTTTTTGGCCTCTCAGTTGTAAATCCACTTTCAATGCCATCTCTACCTTTTCTAGTAAAATTTATTCTACATCTTTTGGATATAGTGTATTCATAATGTTTACTTGAGTGACCTGCTGAGTCCATGTGTAAGACTTCATAGTAACCTTATTCAACAACTGAACAATAGCAAAGTTATTTGGAAAGGACCCGATACTAGCTGAATTCTTAAAAATAGATTCTGCTTGGTGGATATCAATACTGACTTCTCTGTTATGTAGACTATCCTTTTCAGATGCCCAAGCAGAGCAGTCAATTTACTGTAGTCCTTATAACAGTGGTGGCGAACTTATGGCACGGGTGCCAGAGGCGGCACTCGGAGCCCTCTTTTGGGGCACATGTGCCGTTGCCCCAGCCTTGCCTTCCCCACGACCCCCTCCTCTCCAGCAGCCCCCCTGAAGGAGAGTCACCCTCAAGTGTGGCCCAAACAGCAGCTCAGCCAAGGACATGGCACCCAGGCAGCGTAGACAAGACTCTGCCTCACACCCCATTATACAGTTGATGCTGCAGGGCGTGGGCAGAGGGTTTGGTTACCATAGCACTGCTGGGCTGCCTGGGCAATTTGCGGCAGGCCCTGGAGGCGGTGAGTGGTCCTGTGGGCAGGCGGGGCAGGGGATGGGGCAGAACTGGAGCGGGCAGGGGTTGGAGTGGGGGCGGGGCCAGTTTTTGGGCACTCGGTCTCTAAAAGGTTCACCAACACTGCCTTATAAGAAATAATGTGTTGGCAGAGGAGCAAGTAAGGTTTAAGGTGGCACAGTCAATATTTGACCATTGAATTGCAGTCTATTACCTGGTTAAAAAAAATATTCCCACTACCTTAGATCCATTCTCTCTACCTCCTTTTATTAATATAAATGTAATTTTTGATTCAATCTCCAAAGAGTGGTTATGGGAAAAATTAGCAGTGTCTACTGTTGATTGCCAACAATTTTGTCTAATTATGATGCTATGAAAAATATAGAAGCCTTTTTTTACCACTATCACCTCAAGAAAAGTTAAGCTAACCCAGCTCCCATTCTTTTCTGCTTTTAATTACTGGCCAAAAAAGAGAGTTTACCTTAAGAAACTAGCAAACAAACCACCTTTAGAGGTTAATTATTGATCTTTTTAAAAGGATGCGGTCTCATTCTTGTACACCTACAGTCAAAGGTTAAATTCTGCACAGGTTTGAATTTAATATTCCTCATATTCTTCACTGAAGTTAACTACTCTTCCTCTGTTTTCACTTCCTCTTTACAGAAACATAAGATCAGTACACTAAAGGAAGGGGGTGTGACTTTAGCCATTTTCTAAAGAGAGGGTTATGGGCTTGTTTTATTTTTATTATCAATACAGAAGTGACTCTTCGGAAGAATAGGAATTCCACATTTTCATAATTAACAAAGAAACTTGAGATGAAGCCACAGAGACTACTTGATGTATGTTTTATATTTCTTTTATTGGGTATTTCTCTCCTTTGAAGTGAAATTATTACTCTCTGCATTGTGTAGTTATAATTCATTGACATTTTCTCTAGAAAATCTGTGAATTGACATTACTTTTTACTTATTCATGTCATGAATTGTCAGCTATTCCACTATTTTTGTTTTCCTGTGAATTTAACATGACCAAGCTTTAATTCTTCTGTTACCAGCAGCCACAGATACTTTTCGCCATCAAGGTAATATATCTGTTATGCCACAAAGACTTGATGCTCTATTTTCTTTGCGTTTTATGTTTATTTAAGAAAAAGCAACCTGTTTGTTGACTGTGTTCTTAACTACCATTTCTCAATCCTAAATCAACTTTTCAGAATCCTGGCATGTGGAGGGTAGAGTCCCTGTTCAGTCATTGCATTGTATGCGGTCAGGTACCTATCACAGGATACTTTAAATATCCTAAATTGTAATAAAAAAAATAAGCATGGTTTCAGCTGTGTAATTGGGTGCAGATAGGTCCAATGAAGCTCTTAGCAATGGGTGCATCAAGATGGCCAGCCAGGGCTTTCTGGAATTATTAAGCAGAGACCTACTTGTTTTAAAATAAGAAAGGAAACCTGGTTTCACCCAACATTCTGCATGTGAGGAAATGAGGGTCAGAGTAGTGTTTCTGAACACAGTTCTTTGCTGAAATGCTATTCAAAAATGTTTAACTTTTTTCTGTCTATTACTGTGGAGGAGTTAGCTACTTATAAGCATGTGGTATTAGAGGTAAAGAACTGTGTGAGTTTTGTGGCATGGCTTGTTTTTCATACTTAGCAGTAAGCTATATCCCATTGTTTCTAATTAAATTGGGTGTGCAAATAGTATTCATGCAATCGTGTAATTTACAACTATAAGGATTGCAGTACTTTAGATGTGTTGTTTAGGAACTGCAGCAGAATGGATCAATAAGCATAGCAATTTTAATTGAAAATGTGTACCTCCAGGTAGATGTGAGGTAGACTTATTTTGAGCATAGTGTCCTACCTTCTCGTAATGTTGCAAAAAATTATGTTGTTAATACAAATTAGAGTAGTTGGGGGCCAATGGTATACAAAATTAATAAATTAAAAAAATCTTTTTGTTCATTTGTCTAAAGTATCTAACATTTTCCTGGTGGCAACAGTCCATAACAACAATATAACAAAAGTGCTGTTGGCAACTCTGTTGGGAAGCATACTTTCTCAAATATGAAAGCATAATGTTTCCTTATATGTGATTGTTAAAAAAAGAGAACCTCTGACAGAAGTAAGGTTATCTATACTATCTAAATTTCTGATTTCACAGTTCTTCCTAATCACAGTCTCTTTAATCTCCCTTAGTTTATTATGCATGAGGACTGTCGCCTATAATTGTATTCAAATGTAACTTCCCTGATGATTAAAATTAAATCATTTTAATTTAATAATGATAAATGTATCTTCCAGGACTTAAGTGAATTGCACAACAGGCAGTCTACAGATCAAAATATCAACTATGCAGGTTCTTGTTAGTCTTTGTAAGAAGTTTAATTTAATCATCCTAAATGGTGCAAAGGTGAATCTTGAAATATTCATTTTTATTTGTGAGTGGGGAACAAGTTTGCTAGATTATTGTCTAGTAGCTATCAAAATATTTTCTTTAGTTAGATTATATAATATTGGCTTAAAATCACATAGTGACCACCAAGTTATAATTATAAGTTTGTTAACAAATGATAAAGAGTTTTGTAGGACCCAATATTACTATTAAAAGTAACTATATACTACTGGTGTCAGTTTAATTAAAGCCATTGTTAAAATATTAGATATCTTACCTGTTTAATATAAAATGCCAGTCAAAATCCTTAAATGAAACTGATCTATTGATAATATGTCTTTTCTTCATGTATATCATTATTTGAACACTGAAAATGCTCTTTGGCTATAAATGACCAAAGATTTGTCCGTCTGTCAAACTTCCTTAAAACAACAGTAAAATATTGCAATATCAGAACATTTCTGGATTAGCACATAACATATAGTCTTTGGGATTTCTTAACCAATGTAAAGGTCTTTTGTCCTTTTACACATAACTTTTTATCCTCTGCTTTTTTATTCAAAGCATATGTAACCGCTGATTTAAAAAAGTTCTGCTTCCCTTCCTCCTTTTATGTTGTGGTAATGTTCTCTACTTTTTAGTTTTTGGGTTGCCGTGCTCTGGTAACTTGGTTCATCACTTCAGAAGGGGAGGGGAGAGGAGAGTGGTTCCTTGTTTAATATATTGCTGTTTTGTTCCCTTTAGTATTTCACCATAGTCATAATCAATTTTGTCAACTTATTCCCCTTTTCTGTAAAAGATAAATGAGTCAGAATATGAAACATTGATTTAAACAAGTTAATGGGAATTTAAAAACAAGAAAAATCTTTGAGTTCAGTGCCTCCTTTCCTTTCCTTTTCTTTCCTTTCCTTTCCTCTCCTCTCCCTTTAACTTTTCCTTTTAACTTTTCATTTTCCTGTCCTTTGATGCCTTTGAGTCAGTGATAATACCTGGAAATTGCCTGGACAAGTCCCTGAAATTTTTTTGACAAGGTTTCAGAAATAATTTGCCACTGTCTCTCTCCTAGGACTCAGAGAGAATGATTGGCCCAAAGTCACCCAGCTGTCTTTGTGCTTGAGATGGTACTAGACTTTAAAGTCTCCTGATTTTCCAGCCTGGTGCCTTAACTGCACCGAAGTATAAATAAAAATACTTCTTTGGAGGCTTTAAAGCTATCAAATTTCATCAGAAAAAAATGATGAATAAAAGTAGTTTCAGCTTTCCTGATTTCCTGGTTCCTACCAGGGCTGACATTATGAGACAATAATCACTGGATTCAGTTTAGCTATAATTCTGGGCAGAGTCAACATCCATGGTGTGAAGCAAGAACCAGCTTGAGAAATTTTCAAACATTTCCTTCTTCCTTTTTTTTAATGACCTCTTTCTCTGTAATAATTATTGTCCTAAGAATTGCAGTTTTTATAGTAACATTGTAAGCTAGGTCAGTATCCACCTGCCTGCCTTATCCTACAACAGAGGAAGCTGGCAGTATCTGAGAATGAAAGACCAAGAAACAAACTTAAAATGCCAAAATTAAGAGTTCATGGCAAAAATAATATTTGACCCTAAGGTTTCTTCAACTGTAACTTGACCTCGCCATTGCACAAAGCTAAGCCATCACCTACACTTCTACAGAATTATGTCAGTGTGCTCCACATCTATTATTCAAATTATACTAACAGTGTAGATACACTTTGATTCTATCACTTGCTTTGTTGCAAGAGAGTTACCTAGGTTGTTCTGTTTCCCAGCTCTTTTCCTAAATATAGTCATCTGCTTTCATGGAAATGTTCCTACCATCATAGATTGACTCATGATCAGATCAGAATCTAACATATTGCCCAGACGTTCATTCAGCTGAGTTCAGTCAAGCTTTCCTTCATTTAAGAAAGTATCCAACCATATTGATGTCTGTAGTATGGAACTAGATACCTCACTTTCCTCTCATTAGAAGACCGTCCCATTCTTCCGCTGAATGAGGATGCTTTTATTAAAATTCTGCATCCATTCACAGTGGTCCTCACTTAGCAACCACTCATTCAGCAACAACAGCACTGAATGAGTGGTACTTACGACCAGTTCTCATACTTGTGGCTGTTGCAGTGTCCGCAATGTGATCTCCTTCTATGGCAGCTTTTGACAAGCAAAGTCAGTGGGGAAAATGGCAGACATTGCAAATGTGATGTGACGTACTTCACCAACAACTTAGTTGATTGATCAATTATCTGAATTTTGTGTAATATTTTTTTAACTCAGTCAAATTTTTAAGTATTCCATCTGGGGTTTTTTTTTGTTTTTTTTTTGTTGGTTTTTTTTGTAATAGTACAGTTTCTAGAGAAGTACATGCTATATTGTTTCTGTGTGTCCAGGGTCACAGGGACATTGTCACTCTAGTTAGGAAATCTTCCTGCATCAGCCTTCAAAGACAGTTGAGGAGCAAAAGTAACATCACTAAAGGCCCAATAAGGCCCTTCAGGATCATTGATTTGTTAAATATGCCATAGGGGAAGCAAAATCCCTGCTGGGTTCATTGGCGATAAAAGTTGAGGACCAGGCTAGGTCCAATTGATATTCTGTGTCCACTACACTCTCTTTAATTAGCACTTTGACCTGATCATATCCCATGCTAAGTAGAAAATCTGGAGACAATCCCAAGGATTTTAGTTTTTCTCAAAAAGATTCTTCATCTCTGTCATTGTCACTGGTGCCTATGTTGTGCAGATTTTCTATATTTTGGCTAGGGCTTCTATTGTCCGTGTTGTTCGTCCCTCGATTTCAATGAAGACCTTGACATCTTGTGGGTTATGGGCCATCAACGATGTGTCCGTAGGTGGCTAATAAGACCGATGTTAGCACGGAATGTTCTGCCACATACTGAACAAAGAAATGTAGATACTGTTACTTCTGCATTTACAGCTCTGGCTTTGCGGAGTGCTTGCTTCTCTTGTGCCAAGATTGTCCTTCTGTGTTCATATGTCTGGCAACCGTGGTACACCAAGGTGCGCCATGTCGGTCGATCAAGTGCCAGAAGTTCCCAAGAGATGGTGTTAACATCCAGGGACTTAAGAGAGGCTTTCAATGTGTCTTTGTATCGCTTCTTTTGTCCCCCATGCAATCGCTTTCCTTGAGACAGCTCACCATAGAAGAGCTGTTTAGGGATGCGATGATCTGGCATCCTTACAACATGGCCTGCCCAGCGCATCTGGACTTTCATCAACAGAATGTAAACTGATGATAGGCCTGCTCTGGAGAGGACATCTGTGTCTGGTATCTTATCCTGCCACCAGATCCTCAGAATTCTACGAAGGCAAGTCATGTGGAAGTAGTTCAGTTGCCTAACGTGCCTCCTGTACACTGTCCAGGTCTCACTAGCATACAATAGGGTAGTTAGCACTGCTGCCTGGTAAACTTTAAGCTTGGTAGCAAGACTTATTCCACGGCGGTCCCACACATTAGTCCACAATCTGCCAAATGCAGAACTTGCCTTGGCAATTCTACAGTTGAGCTCGATGTCAATTGTCACTGCATGGGAGAGGGTATTACCAAGATACGTAAATTGATCCACTGCTTGCAACTTTTGTCCCTTTACTGTGATGGTAGGCTCTTGATATTGGGCTTTTAGAACTGGCTGGTACATCACTTCAGTTTTCTTCGTGTTGATGAAGAGGCCAAAGTTGTATTGTCCATATAGAGTTCCTGAAAATATGCCTTCCAGCTCCCTGAGATAACAGTCCACAGGGGCCAGGCCATGTGTCAGAAAGAAGCTGAGTCATTAGATCAGACTGCCTAAATGAGTCGTGTCCTGTTGCTTTTTATGGCTTTTTTCTTCTTCTTGCATCTAGCAGTTGTTTGTAGTATCCTTTCTGATGGAGGAGATCCTGTGCAGCTGTTGTTGTAGCATTGGATACATAAGTCTGGTAAATGGGAAGAGCTTTTTTTGCATAAAGTTGAACCCTAGCTTGGAGTGGTACTGTTCTTGCTTTAGGGCTGCACAGTTGCAGCCAGTTAAATGCTGGTGGAGCTCTTCGGTTAGGGCAGCGGTTCTCAACCTATGGGTCGCGACCCCATTTGGGGTCGATCGACCATTTTTCGGGGGTCGCCAAAGGCGGCGATCCGCCATTTTCTCCCCTCCGGGGGCGCCGCCGCACATGCACGCTGCACATGGGGGCGCATGCGCAGAACGTTTGTGTGACGGGGGTCGCCGTCACACAAACGTTGAGAACCACTGGGTTAGGGTGTTATAATAGTCTAAAAGTACATCAGGAGTTTCAGAGCTGTCAGGGCAGACTCCGGATTCTGTAGCTGATGCACAGCAAAAACTTCAGTTATTATTTGGTTTAACTGTGGGATTCTTTTAGCTCAGCAGTTTGTTTTTCCTGCTGGCATTGGTAAGGATTAGCAGCAATCCTTAATGTGTGTTTCTTAAGTGAAGGTATTTAAATTAATCAAGATGGGGAGAAGATCGCTATCAAATTTAGGCATAACCTCTAGGGCCTTGTCATGAGGGGAGAGGTCCCTAAATTCAATTATATAATCAGTTGCACTCATTTTCTGGAGCCAGGTAGGCAGGTGGATTTGGCTAGGTAGTTTGATTTTAGATCCTTTGAGCAATGGGTGGGGAGGAATTCATTATCTTCAGGGTTGGGCGGGGGGCATTTGTGCTTTGCTGATTCATTTTCTCTTTATCCCTTACATTTAGCACATTTATTTTTAAATAGTCCTGTATAGATTGTACTTGTCTTTTTATATCAGACCAAAGAGCAATCAACATACAACTGTGGAATATTAAGGACAGAAAAATTTACAATATTATGCTTAGAGAAAAATGATATAAGATGTTCTATTGATTGTATATTACTCCAGTAATGATTACCAAAGTAGACAAGTCATTCTTTAAACATTGTTGGAAGCCCAATTAGATAGATAGATAGACAGACAGACAGACAGACAGACAGACAGACAGATAGACAGACAGACAGACAGACAGATTTGATAGATAGATTTGATAGCAATGGTGTAATAAGCCAGTTGAATAAAATGAACCATAACAGAATGAAACGAATCTTAAAGGTGAATTTTTATTTTTAGTCCACTATTTTTTTACTAAATAATATTAAGCTTGAGCTGGTTTAGGTGAGCAGAACAACATGGTTCATTTTTAGTGAACTCTTAAAACATCTGTTTTAAATACTCTTTTATTTGGTTTTAAAATATTTTACATAGTGATTTTATTTCATATCAGTTAAAAATTTTAGTTCCCTGTATTAAGATTAATAATTTTAGAAATTTACTAAGCCTTATATTCCCTCAAAATATATTGAATTGGTTTTATACATGATAACAACTACTAGGATTTTCTGCATTTCCAAATGAAAGTTATGAGCAATTTCTTCAGTAGAATGATTATGCAATTATAAAAAAAACCTAACTTCTCATTTGAAAAGTAATTCTGATATAGAATGTAATTCAACATTGAAATTATTTTTGGATTGTAGTTTTATAAATGGGTTTTTATCAAACCCCAAATCTGGGTTTCTCTTAACATAAGATTATAATAGCCAATATTTTTGTGATCTGATAAATTTGCCATATTTCTTAAATTAGGCAGAAATGTTTGCAATTTGAATTATACTTTATGAGTAATGGTTGTTATGATTACTATGCTACTTAATAGCCCAATTTTAATATTGATTTATTTTATAATGATTTAAAATTTTAAATTGATGTAATATAATATCAGCTATTAAATAGAATGTAATACATACATACTTAACATTTAATAAATACTCTAATATGCACATTTATATTTATATATAAATTTATATTACATTAATTTTGACATATTTTAACTAATTTAATAATCCTTGTAATTTTCTTTTTTGTATTTTCACTCCCCTTGCTGTAAAATTGCTTGTACTTGTAAAATTAATACATTAAAAAAACAACAGGAAAAGAAACAGAAAGGATCTGTCTGTATGAGTAAAACCAAACCTTTTCACCACTTTTGAAATCAAACTGGAAGTAAGACAAAAGTGAGAAACGTTCTTCCTTTTTTGGTTATCATCTGCCAACAGAGGAAAATCTGAAACGTTCTGTTGTAACACTAGTAGAATATGAATGTGCAGCTTGCAATGTTTCCTCATACTGTAGTGTTTTACAAATGTCATTGCTTCCTTCATGTGAGCTAGAGCATGTTGTCACCTTTTAAAATTTGTGCTGTCTACACCAGGGATAGGCAACCTTGGCTCTTTTATGACTCGTGGACTTCAATTCCCAGAATTCCTGAGCCCGCATGGCTCAGGAATTCTGGGAATTGAAGTCCACGAGTCATAGAAGAGCCAAGGTTGCCTACTCCTGGTCTAGACTCTAGAATAACAACAGGATGTGGATAGGAGCATTTCTTGGAATAAATTAACTTCTTAGGAAAGATATCCAGAAGAATTTGGTTCAGTTCTTTGATGTAATTCCTGGCCCTCTTGGTTTCTTTCCAGGTGCTGGATTATAGTTACTTTAAAACAAAGTAAAATACAAACAATGACACTTCACTACTGTCTGGCATGGAAGAACAGAAGTACATGTTATAATGACTCATATTTTTAAAATGCATATCCAACTTTTATACAGGTTTTTCAAAGGATTTGAAGTTTTATAACTTTCTTAGTCTCATCTTAAAGCAAGGCAGGCAAGAGGTGGGGATTGGAGGTTATAGTCTTTTTTAAATTGTTTTTTGGCCTTCAAACATTGCAAGGCATGTGGTGATAATGGCACCAGAAGAATGAGAAAAAACTTCTAGCTCTGTGCGAGAGGTTGCCTTTATTCAAAATAAGTTTAATACACCTATTTGTGACATATGTTATTAAAACAATTTTTGTGTGGTCAAAATTGACAATTGGCCACTGGATTTCATGTGTGTGATCTTGGGAGAGAGCAGAAATATTGGTTGCATACAGCCCAGAAATTGTAGATTTCCTCACCTTTGTAGTAAAGCATGTATTGAACAAATTTGGTGGCTTTTAATCCAGCAAGAAGGCAACCATTTGCCTAATTACAAATTACAAATTACTAATACAAATATAAATTTAATTGGCTTTTTTGGCACAGCAGCACACTGCTTAATTTGTGGTCTACTAGAGTGCCCAGGTCCTTTTCATAGATACAGGTAGTCCTCAACTGACAACAGGTTGCTTTGTGACTGTTGAAAGTTACAATGGCACTGAAAAAATTGACTTATGACCATTTTTCATACTTACCACCATTGCCATATCTCCATAATAGCATAGTCAAAATTTGGACACTTGGCAACTGGCTCATACCTATGACAATTGCAGTGTCCCCGGGATCATGTGATAAACTTTTGTGACTTTACGATGAGCAAACTCAATGGGGAAGCCAGATTCACTTAACAACCATATTACTAACTTAACAACTACAGTGATTCACTTAACAGTTGTGGCAAGAAAGGTCATAAAATGGGGCAAAACTAAACTAACAAATGTCTCATTTAGCAACAGAAATGTTGGGCTCAATTGTGGTTGTACATCAAGCACTATCTGTACTAATGCCAATCAACTCCTGTCTTGTATCTGTGCATCTAGTTTTTCATGCTTAAATGCAGAACCTTACATTTCCCCCCTCCCCCACATCAAACTGCTTTTTGTTGGAGAGGCCTCAATATTCAAGTCTAGAAAGATCCTTTTGAATCTTGTGCCCATCTTCTGGAGTATCAGCAATCCTCTCTTCCTTCAGCTTTGTCTTGTACAAATTTGTTGAGCTTCCCTACTGTACCTTTATCTAAGTCATTTATAAAAATGTTGACACAACCGCTAGGTACTCCTAAGGAGAGTGTAGTCCTTCTCTTTGTTAGTCATATCCAGTTTCTGCAACTGTTCTTCATATATTTTAGTCTCCAGACCCCTAATCATCATTGTTGCTTTTCTTTGCACTCTTTCTAGAACCTCAATCTCTTTTTTCCATTGTGGTCACCAGAATTGGGTGTAGTATTCCAAGTTCCTTATTGTTATGTATTTTACATTCTTTAAATTAAGACAATTATTTTTATTATGTAATCCACAATAATTTTAATATGATCATAACCTTAAGTCTAATTTAAAATAGTCAATACAAGTGTAAACAAATACTACACATCCCTCCATTTCTCCTCAGGAGTTCTTCCTCCACGAAGTATCTTCTTCCATTTATTATTTAAATTTTAGGCATGCGTTGTAAAGATGCCTTGTTTCTTATGTTTCATTGCATACTATTTATTTTTCACAGGAGATGTTTCCTAAGTACTTCCTTTTGCTATTTGGAGCTGTGCTGCTGTTGTTGACAACAGGTAAGCTGCATTTGCCATTACTATGCAATTCTGCCATATGGCCTCAGTTCGTAGAATAAAGAAGATGCTTAAGACCATTGAAATAAAAAAGCCCAATTCTTTAGGTTCTGCTGAAGGGCCAATATGTCCCATCACATTCTGAATAATCCAAGACACTATTATTCAGTCACTTGGATCTCAGTTAATACTAACAGATGCAGGAGAGAACTATGAACAGAAGAGCAGACTTATCCTAGAGAAAATCCATATGTTCCATCTGAAGTGTTTTCCAGACTCTTTCAAAGGCAGTCAACATGCTGTATCTCTTACCTGATGAACTCAGAGAGCAATGGGCATCAACAAAAGTCAATGGAGAAATCAGCTGGAAGTTGCAAGTCCCAGGTAGCTCGTAAGGAGGCCTGAGAGTGGGTGAATGTGAAGAGAGGCAGAGGGTGCTGTAGTGAGTGCATGAGGCAGAGGGTGCTATAGTGAGGCCATTTTCGGGGAACGAGGACTCGCTATATTAGAGCGATTCCTTGTTCCGCCCCCTCAAAAGGCCCATCCTGTAGTACTGGTGACAGGGGAGTAAAGGGCCCTAGTTGTAGGCTGCTGTTGCTTAATGCCAGGTCCATTGTCGACAAAGCCCCCCTTGTCCGTGATTTAATATTGGACAGGGGGGTGGACCTGGCATGTATAACTGAAACCTGGCTGGGCCCTGAGGGAGGTGTTTCCCTCTCGAAGATGTGCCTGGACGGGTTTGTGGTGCTTCATCAGCCTCGACATCAGGGCAGGGGTGGGGGAGTGGCAGTCATTGCTCGGAGGTCCCTGAGTCCTCGTGGGATTCCTGAACCGGAGATTGTTGGGTGTGAGTCCCTCCTATTGAAGTTGGGTTCACGGGTTCAGTTGGGCTTGTTGCTGATGTACCTACCTCCCAGCTGCATTGCAACAGCCCTGCCTGCGCTGCTGGAGTCCATAGCCGGGTTGGTGGTGGAGTTCCCCAGACTTATGGTACTGGGGGACTTAAACCTGCCATCACTCGGCGAATGCTCAGAGGCGGCGCAAAAGTTCATGGCTTCCATGGCAACCATGGACCTGACTCAGGTAATCCCAGGATCCGACTCATAGGGGTGGTCACACGCTCGACCTTGTGTTTCTCTCGGGGCAATGGAGACATGATCTGGAATTAAGGGGAATAGAGACCTCTCCCTTGTCATGGACAGATCATTTCCTATTGAGGCTGGACTTCAGAGCATCACTCCCCCACCGCAGGAAGGTGAAGCCGATTAGGTGGTTCCTCCCCAGCCGCCTAATGGACCCAGATCAGTTCCAGGAGGAGCTTGGGGAAATACCTGACTCCCTTGTCCACAACTCGTTCGGGTCCCTGGTTGCGGCCTGGAATGAGGCGACGTCCGGGGCCCTGGATCGAATTGCACCTTTGCGACCTCTCTGTGGTAGTGGTCCCCGGAGGGCGCCTTGGTTTACTGAGGAGCTACGGGAGATGAAGCGCCACAAGAGACGTCTAGAGCGACGTTGGAGGGCCAGTAACTCTGAATCTGACCGATCACTATTAAGAGCCTATCTTAGGACTTATTTAGTGGCAATAAGGGCGGCAAAGCATGTTCACTTTTCCGCACTTATTGCGTCCGCAGAATCTCGCCCGGCCGCCTTGTTTAGGGTGACCCGCTCCCTTCGTAAAGGGGAGGAGGCGGAGGAACCCTTGCAGGGGAGAGCTGAGGGGTTTGTTCAGTTACTCTCGGACAAAATCGCTCAGATTCAGAGAGACCTGGACTCCGACTGGACAGTGCCAGCTGAGATGCCGGGGGCTAGTCTTAGTCATGTTATCTGGAGCAAATTTGAGCCTGTGACCCCTGATGAAGTGGACAAGGCCGTGAGGGCAATGAATGCCGCCACCTGCTTATTGGATCTGTGCCCCTTCTGGCTGGTTTCTGCCAGTAGGGAGGTGACACGAGGCTGGCTCCAGGCAATAATCAACGCCTCCTTGATGGAGGGGTCTTTCCCGCAACCTTTGAAGGAAGCGGTGGTGAGGCCCCTCCTCAAGAAGCCTTCCCTGGACCCAGCTGTTTTGAAGAATTTTCGTCCTGTCTCCAACCTCCCCTTTGTGGGGAAGGTTGTAGTGAAGGTAGTGGCGTCCCAACTCTTGCGATCCTTGGATGAAACGAATTATCTGGATCCTTTTCAATCTGGTTTCAGGCCCGGCTACAGCACTGAGACTGCTTTGGTCGCGCTGACCGATGACCTCTGGTGAGCCCGGGATAGGGGTCATTCCTCTATCCTGGTGCTTCTTGACCTCTCAGCGGCTTTTGATACCATCGACCATGGTATCCTTCTGTGTCGTCTCGGAGAGGTGGGGGTGGGTGGCACAGTATTGCGGTGGTTCTCCTCCTACCTCTCTGACAGGTCACAGTCGGTGTTGGCGGGCGGACAGAGATTGACCCCTAGGCGCCTCGATTATGGGGTGCCTCAGGGCTTGGTCCTGTCCCCCCTCCTTTTTAACATCTACATGAAACCGCTGGGTGAGATCATTCGGCGACATGGGGTGAGGTATCATCAGTATGCGGATGATACCCAATTGTATATCTCTACCCCGTGTCCTTTCAGTGAAGCAGTTGACATGATGTGCCGGTGCCTGGAAGATGTGAGGGCCTGGATGGGGGTGAACAGGCTTAGATTCAACCCTGACAAGACTGAGTGGCTCTGGGTCTTGCCCCCCAAGGGTCATCCTGTTGGTCCATCATTAGCCCTGGGGGGGTAAATTTACCTCCCTCAGTGCAGGCACGCAACTTGGGTGTCCTCCTGGACTCACAGCTAAATTTAGAACATCATCTATCTACCAGGGGGACCTTTGCCCAGGTTTGCCTGGTGCACCAGTTGTGGCCTTATTTGGACCGGGAGGCTCTATTCACGGTCACTAATGCCCTTGTCACCTCAAGACTGGATTACTGTAATGCGCTCTACATGGGGCTACCCTTGAAGAGTGTTCGGAGGCTGCAGTTGGTTCAGAATGCAGCCGCGAGAGCGATTGTGGGTGCACCAAGGTACACCCACGTGTCACCTATCCTCCGTGAGCTGCACTGGCTTCCTGTGGGTCTCCAGACGCAATTCAAGGTGTTGGTTATCACCTTTAAAGCCCTTCATGGCTTAGGACCAGGTTACTTACAGGACCGCATACTGCCACATAGTTCCCAGAGACCGGTGAGGTCCCACAGATTGGGCCTCCTTCAGGTCCCATCGGCCAGACAATGTCGGCTGGTGGGCCCTCGGGGAAGGGCCTTTTCAGTGGTGGCTCCGACCTGGTGGAATCAACTTCCCCCCAAGATTCGAACTACTCCCAGCTTGCCAGCCTTTAAGAAAGCCATTAAAACTCTCCTGTTCCGGCAGGCCTGGGGTTGATGTCCCCGGGGGGGGGATATGATTGGACATGCTGTATGAATGTACTTATTTATTGTTTTATTGTTATATTGTTTTAATTTTGTACGCCGCCCTGAGTCCTTAGGGATTGGGCGGCATATAAATTTTATTAATAAATAAAATAAATAAATAAATGTAAGCTGGGGAGGGGGTGCTGCAGTGCTGTGCAGGTGGGTACAGGTTGCAGATGTGCTATAACACCATGCAAATGGATGTGGGTTGGGGAGGGGGTACTGCAGCAATAGGACACTGCAGAGTATGAAATCCCTGGGATCTCAGGTCATAACTACGACTAATTCAGTGCCATGGCATCTTCAAATGGTTACTGAACAAATGGTTGTTAACTCAGGAGTAACTTTGTTAAGAGCCCTGGTGGTGCAGTGGTTAGAATGCAGTACTGCAGGCTAATTCTGCTGACTCCAGGCTGCCAGCAGTTTGGCAGTTCAAGTCTCACCGGCTCACGGTTGACTCAGCCTTCCATCCTTCCGAGGTTGGTAAAACGAGGACCCAGATTGTTGGGGGCAAAATGCTGACTCTGTAAATCACTTAGAGAGGGCTGTAAAGCACTGTGAAGTGGTATATAAGTATATAAGCAAGTGCTATTGCTATCCTCTCAGTGGCTGGTTTGAGTATTCAGGGAATGAAGATACTGTAGCTAGGTCACCATCTGGTGAACAAACTGTTCCAGGTTATGTCATGGAGCAATTAACACATTGTTCACTTGATGCACCTTATGCAACACTGTTGCATCAGGATGTAGTTTAGGGAGAAGAAGGGCAAACCATTTGCTTAATTTCCCTTTTGCATGGATATGCAGCACTTCAGGGTGAGACTGAGTTTTGAGAGGGTAATTTTAGCTGTGAAGTTGGCTGATTTGAAAATTGTGCATCTTGTCTCCAACTTACTTCATATGTGCAATATGTGGTGAAAATGGTTATCAATGCCTTGCCCAAATACCTTATTCAAAATGCAAAGGAGATGGGTCTCTCTAACACTAGAAACATACTGAAGCTAGTGAAAGATCCCAGCTCAAGCTTTTAACCCTGGTGAATCTTCTGCACGCAAAATAATGAAGAATGCTAATAAAATTTGTGGGTGGATTCTATCTCTTTGCCTGCCATGAAAATTATGTGCATTAGAAATCTAGCCATAAAAAAGATGGAGGAATCCTTTCATTGTACATAGAAGCAGAAATCTGCTCCTCTCACTGGAAAACCCTATCATGTCACAACCACGATTCCAGCAAATTTTGTTGTCCTTCTTTATGACATTCAGAATATTTTAAGGGCAGGGACAGGTTTCTTCCTCACTGACCAAGTATCACAAGCTGGGGGAAAACTTCCATTAATTACTCTCCTTGAGTAATTGGGTGGCTATGGATGGGGAGGAGTAGAATTTGGATGGATTGCTAGATTGCTTCCCTGCTCAGCCTGCTGACCATCACTGCTGTTTGAGAACATGAATATGATACAGCTGCATGGATCCCTGATTTCCCTGATAAAATAAAAGTACTGTATTCCATGACTTGGTTTTAGATTTTTTTTCTTATGAACTAGCAAAGTTTACTTTGTCTTATTTGACACAGTGTTCAGCTCCACTATAACCCACTAGATCTGCAAGCTGTTGCAAATGGTGGAGTTGAGGGTCAACATCCTTTACCTCAGCATCTCCAAGCGTAGTGTAGAAACAGTTTTTTGGATTTTTCAGGAGGTTGCTAGCAGGCAGGTAGTCTTGTTACAGTGTCAAAGCAAAGGTTGCACCTATAGACTTACAGGCCCATAAAACAAAAAGAACATCATTTTAATACAGGTAGTCCTCGACTTACAACCATTCTTTAGTGATTGTTCAAATTATCATAGTATTGAAAAAAAGTGACTTATGACCTGTTTTATCACTTATGACCATTGCAGCATCTCCATAGTCATGTGATCAAAATTCAGGTGCTTGGCAACTAGCATGCATTTATGATAATTGCACTGTCCCAGGGTCATGGGATCACCGTTTGTAACCTTTCCAGCTGGCTTTTCTCAAGCAAAGTCAGTGGGGGAAGCCAGATTCATAAATGAGTCATGGCCACATGATTCATTTGACATCTGTAGTGGTTCGCTTAACAACTGTGGCAAAAGAAGTAGTAAAAAGGGGCAAAGCTCACTTAACAATCACAGAAAATTTTGTGATCCTACGTTGAGGACTTAGAACAGCTGATGCTTGGGGTGGTTGGCAAAATGCACTTCCAGATTGTCGATTGCTGCCAAGGTGGGTTATTTTCATATCTGGGGAGGTTCAGGTACTTCTGTTTTGTCTGTTGTTCATTATAGCTCTTTTATAACATTTTCTTCCTCTTCCTTCTTAAGCATTTTCTCTCGAATGTACCAAATACAATGTAAAAACATGTCAGGACTGCATTGAGTATGGCCCTGGTTGTGCCTGGTGCAAGAAACGGGTAGGTTTTTTTTTAAAGAAAGAAACAAAAAAACAAACTCTTACATTTTAAAGTGTCTTTCAGTTGTCTCTTTTTAATTTGTCCTTTTCAACTGTCATTGACTGTTTTGGGGTTTGCTTTTTGGTTTTTTGCTTTGGGTGGAAACTTTGGCTCACATCAAGTTCTGCTTTATGAAAAGGCTTGCTGTCAAAAAAGAAAATACTTGCAGACCTAAAATACTAAAAAAAAAAAAAAAAAAAATTCTATCTTTATTTTATCATCAGATGAATTTGACTCATCTCTCGCAATGCTATTTTACTGGGGTTATGGGAAATAAAGCAGACTGTAATGTTCTTTCTTATAGCTGCTAGTAATGGGACTAAAATCCAGGAAAGCCCCCACTGGCACTAGCACAGCATCTGCCCAACAACTTTAACAATGATTCCTAGTGGAAAATCAAAGGGGTCACTGAATGCCCAGACATAGAAAGACATATAAAAGATCCCACAAAAAAAGTTGCCAGGCTTTGAACTACCACATCAGAAATGGACAATCCTGAATAGGATTTGCACCTCGCACCCGGCATTTGCCAGGACTCTCTGCATAAATGGGGCAAAATATTCTCCCCTCTGTGTGACTCAGTTGGGGTCCCACGTCAAATTGTAGATTTACATCATGACCGTCTGAAAGCTGAGGGCATATACCAGTCCAGCATTTGATTTTTTTTTAATATAAACAATGCTGTTCTTCAATGGTTAGATGGCCTAGAGACATTAATATTTCAACATAGATCTCTTTGTCATTTATATTTTATTGGATTCTACTAATCTAGTTATAATGTTAATTTATATTACTAGTCCATGATTATGCCATACAATCAATCAATCAATACTAATGGAACCAATATATTGGTAGAATTTCAGATGGAAAGAGTCACTGTTAGTGTGAGCATTTCTATATCCACAGTACTCAAACTTTCCTTAGATATCCACTGAAAAATTTGGTGCATCTGCAGGCAATAGTGTTTTGGATCAGAAATCAGATGCCTATCCTAGCTGGTTCCTAGTAGGCAGAAGTAACTATGGATACTTCTATTGATTATAATTTGAGTACATTTCTATATTGTACTTTTTTTTTTTCAAACTTTCCTTACATTCACACCTAATGTTAATCCCAAGGAAAGAATGCATGTACAAGTCACCACAAGCATACAGAAATAAATGTTGCTAAGATGAGGAACCAAACAATTTCCCCTTTTATTGAGGAGCATAATTAAGTTTTGATTGGGTATTGTCCTTGTACTCTAAACACATAACAATATAAATATGTTTGTGCTTACAGTGCTTTAGGTATTCTGATTTGGTGTTGTAAATGCTAGGGAAACAGAACCGGTGGTATGGAAAATCTGTAAGATTCTTCTCATTCTCATCCATTTTTAGTTTTTCAACTAAAAAGGAGTAGAATGATAAGGAAGATATTAAAAAATAGGTTTTATTGATTCCAGAAAGAATATTTATATTCAAAGGTTATTCTTAATAGACCAAAGAAATAATAATTATTTTGTGCACACTTGATAAATCCTGTAAATTTACATTTTCAATTACTTTTGATTGTGCCCATCAAGGCTTTGGTCAATCAAGAATTTTAAACCATTTTTCACAAGAGAAAAATAAAAATAACTCAGTCATGCTGGGACCATTGCAGAATCTCTTGCTGATGATACTATCAGCCAGTTTGGGCGAATTTTGGCCAGACTGCCCTAAGAGCAACTAATGCCCAGTTTGGCATGCTTATGCTATTTAATGCAATTTAGGATATCTGAGATATAGGTTTGCAAGCCAATATATGACCACATCTCGCTGACTAGGAGGAGGATGCAGTGGACTGTAAGTTAGGCAAGATGAAAAATTACCCTCGAAAAATGCAATCTCATATCACTTCTGTATTGTTGTCAAGGAAGCTATATAGCCATGTCATGAAGTTCTAAAAATTGAGTTCAACTTGAAGGAGGTACTATCTTCATATTGCTGTGAAATACCAAGTGAACTAATTATTATTTTAAGAAATAAATAGCCCTGACTCTACTGGTATTTTGAAGGGCCTTGAAGGCATGGTTCTTTGCTAAGACCTTGGTGAGAATAATTGATCTCCATTTACTTTGTTTCTTTTGTTCCTATCTGGGTTTGTTTCTCTGCCATTGTGCTTCATAATTTTATGTTTTTTGTACTTTTACTTGTTTTTAAATGTCTTAAATAATTGGTGAACTGTCCAGAGTTGCTAGAATGATGATGATGATTGCAAGAAGCATGCCCTTTAACAATAAAATAATATTTTCCTCTATCTAAAATATTTTAGGTCTACCCAATAAATATCTCAAGCTTATTAATTGTTTTTGTGCTTTGATTGTTATGAAATACAGGATTTCACAAAAATAGGAGAACCAGATTCAGTTCGATGTGACACAAAGCAAAAGCTCCTTGAGAAGGGATGTGATGGGAACATTATTTTCCCAGAAAGCTTTGCTGGCCCAGTGTCTTCTGAACAATCAAACACGAAGAAACAAATCTACCCAGACAAGGTGCAACTACATTTAAGACCAGGTATCTCAGAATCTGAACCTCAAATCAGAAACTTAGGAAATGGCTAAAAGAATGGCTGCAATGTAAGGATAGGAAGCATATGACACATGTGATTTTTTCCATTTCTTATCAAGCATTTTTTAAAATAGAGAATTGGTAATTCACTATGACTTTGGCACAATAATTCAGGCTAACTTCAATTCTATTAATTTCAATTTTTTACTTTAAAATTTCCTAGTTTTAACTATAATGAAACACCATATGCATATCTCAGAATATGGGAGATCTGAGTATCATATATAAAGTTATGCAAATTAAAGAGAATGGAGAAATAAGCATGTGAACCGGGTGTTTGTGTGTCTTTGTGTATGTGTGTATGCACAAAGATTGCTGGCTTGCTTTCTGTTTCTCTACCAAATATTCCATATCCCACTTTCATTATGTGTATTTCTCATTGTGTTCCTCTGCTCCTATCCTCACACTGCACCTTCCCCTGAGACCTAGTTAACTTCAGTGATGCCTTCTTTATCATTCTGTCACAATTTGACCACCATGCTGATTTCTTCTGCCCTTTCATGTGCTTTCATGGGTTTCTCACACGTCTCACAATCACTACTCAGCCTACAGTCACCTAGTTCAGAGAAGCATCATTAGGTTTGTGAGATGAGATAAAATTGGAGGTGGCGCAGCAGTTAGAGTGCAGTACTGCAGGCCACTTTAGCTGACTGTGTTCAGCAGGTCAGCGGTTCAAATCTCACCGGCTCAAGGTTGACTCAGCCTTCCATCCTTCGGGGTAGGTAAAATGAGGACCCAGATTGTTGGGGGCAATGTAAATATATATATATATATATATATATATATATATATATATATATATATATATATGTGTGTGTGTGTGTGTGTGTGTGTGTGTGTGTGTGTGTGTGTGTGTGTCATAAATAAATAAATAAATAAAATAAAATCTTCCCTTTTACCAATAGAACAACCTGCTGTTTTTAATGTGACATTCCAGCGTGGGGAAGATTATCCAATAGATCTCTATTATTTGATGGACCTCTCATTCTCTATGGACGATGATCTGCAAACAGTGAAGAAATTAGGAGGAGATCTCCTTAAAGCTCTCCAGAGTATTACCAAACGTGCACGGATAGGTATGTGCATTCTACTAAAATATGCAACTGTCTTCTGTCACAGCAGGTGAAAGCACTTAACCAATTTTAGCTGATCTTGAAAAACAGCTAATAAGGGTCATACCTGAAACCCTAAGGCTGTTGAAATTTCAAAAATATATTTCAAGTGGTGATAGTGCAAATGGCTTCATATTATTGATAAGAGAATGGCATGGCAGTGTCCATAAATGGCCGAGAATTAAGCTTGACATGATTCTTATTTTTCCAAGTATTTCCAGCTCCTAAAATTCCACTGAGAAATTCTATAAAATGGGGTTCGGTATTTCTCATGTCTTAATTAACATCTCTTAATTTTGCATTTTGAAGAAATAGCCATTTTCAGAATTTTAACATTAGATACAACAATTCTTTATAGTTAGCTTTCTTTTCTTTTTTATTTGACATAATAAAATGTCATACCATGGAAATAAAAGAGACTAAGATTCTGGTACAACAATTCTGTAAAGAAGGATTACATTATTTGGTTTTTTCTGGATTATGGAGCTTCTATGCTAGTATAGTTTCCACTCTTGAAGCCCTCTGATTTGGTCTCACAATGGTCTGCACTTCTCCCCACTTCAACCATTTTGAATAACCACTAAGGGCAACCCAAGGGCTTCCTTTGGTGGCAGGAGTGCCAAATCAACTACTTAATGGCACTGCATGTACTTGCCCCATCCTCACCAGAGCAAATAATGTATATCCCTGGTGGTTGAAAAGCCCAGTGTGACAGTACCAAGATTTGTAGCTTGTCTGCAATGGGGAAGTAGAAATATCAATGGGAAGCCAACCTGCCCCGAGCACCAAAGAGCTCCAGGATTGTAATTTGTAAATGGAAGTTTTGCAAAGTGACATTTTGGACATTTGGGCTGGAAAAATACAGGAACATGATAATATTGAGAGATCAGCACTAAAGCCTTTTGAGGTAACCTTTAAAATCTCCTCCTCACATTGTACTGCAAACCAAGATCCTACATATAAGCTATAGGTTGGGGAAATTTAAGAAAGTGTTCCTCATACTACTAAATGAAATAGTGGAATTCACTCATGCTATGCTGAGAGCCTTCACCTTAAATGGCTTTAAAACAGTGGTTCTCAACCTGTGGGTCGGGACCCCATTTGGGGTCGAACGACCATTTCACAGGGGTCACCAAACAAGGCTGTCCGCCATTTTTCCCCCTTTTCTTTGGCCACACCCCTGGCACCCGGTGATGTATAAGTGGTTGGAGGTCACCACAACATGGGGAACTGTATTATGGGGTCACAGCACTAGAAAGGTTGAGAACCACTGCTTTAAAACAATATTAGATAATTCATGGAGGATAAAGCTACTAATGGTTGGTAAACATAATATGCCTTCTCCAGGAGAGTTAGCATGGATTTGAATATCAGTTATCCTCATGTCCTTCTCATAGATGTCAGACAAGATTTGACTGACTGTTGCAAGAAACAGAATGCTTGGTTAGGTAGTCCCTCAGTGCAGTCCAACCAAGCTCTTCTTAAGACAATTGGCCTCTCCAAAACAAGTCTTTGAAAGACAAAAGCTAGTGGAAAATGAGAGGGAATAGTATTTCTAAGCAAAGGGGAAAGCATCATATAAGTTTGGTTTTGCACAACAGCTGTGTACAAGGAAAATAGCTACTCCTTAATGAAAGATGAGTTAAATATATATTTATCCAAATGCATCTGATTATTAAAGGATAATATTTTATAATTTTAATAATTCCATGTATAGTCCTGTCTTTTTCTATAATTTTATTTTTAAATCACTCAAGAAGTGATTTATGGTTCTCCCACACAAACATTTATATTGAACAACGTTGACTACTGTTCCTTAACATTTTCTTTAGGTTTTGGTGCCTTTGTGGATAAGACTGTCTTGCCATTTGTAAACACACATCCAGAGAAGCTTCAGAATCCATGCCCAACCAAGGAGACCAAGTGCCAACCACCATTTGCTTTCAGGCATGTGCTTAGTCTCACTGATGATGTACAGAGTTTTCAAGAAGAAGTAGGGAAGCAGAACATATCGGGGACTCTCGATGCACCAGAAGGAGGACTTGATGCCATGATGCAGGCCGCTGTCTGTGGAGTAAGTCTCATGGCCACTACTGTGTGGAAACAGAACTGATTAATGACCTCTTTGGGTCAAAAATGAAAGATGGTTTCACTAATTTATTATTTCCAGTATATGCTACTTTCCCACAAATTCTATACAAATAATTTTTCCATTCAGGGCTGTAATGTATTGGCCACAACTGTTTTAAATCACTTGCTTAATGTCTGACCTACATTACTGTATTGTTTAACAGTTGCTGTTACTGGAAGCCAGACTGGCTTTCTCAAAGCTGATAATAAGGTTTAGGGCGGGAAACTGTTACTTTAAACCTATTGGTTGCCACCTAGAAGCTAACTGTATGAATAGCTGTGCAGCAGCCTTTAGGGCGGCCTCTGTTCTGAGTTAATAAACTTCTTTGCTGTTTCAACACTCTGCCTCATTCAATGCCTAAAGAACCAAAGATATAATAAGGGCCATGAATTTAAGCCCATATAAATGCCACTTATGATTATTTACATTTATATTGTGCTTGTTGTCAGTATGGGCAACTGAAACAGCTTGCAGGAAAAAGTGACAAACTAAACATAATTTACAGTCCAGGATTTCCACAGAGATTGCTAAGTTATTAAAACTAATATTTGTGTTCTGCTCATGCTATTTTTTCCCCTGGAATAAACTAAAAGAAGCCAAAACCTTTGACTTCAAATATCATACCTTACTGTTTTTAAGGCTTCTTAAAATTATGACATTAACAGCATAAAAATTATTAGAAAGTAAATTCTTTTATGGTTCCTGAGGTGGGCTTGTTCTGTTTTTGGTGTCAACAAACACACTAGGTGAGTCAATCAAGGAGTTTGGGGAAAAAGGTAAAGTAGAATGCCTCACATTTATTTTCTTCATATCTCTGCCACTGAATCCAGCCTTGGGGTAAACTAGGAAAAATAGGTTTTCACGAAGAACTCTTTTGGAGAAGGTATCAGGAAGGAAAACGCTGAATTTCTTTCTTTAGCAGTAGGATAGGCACCTGAAGGCACCTGTTAAAGCTGTGACAGTAGAAAGGCTTGCCTGTCTTAGACCGAAAAATTGACAGATTCATCATGTCCCTTCCTGCATCGGTGATTTTGTAATTTGTTATAATGATTACTGCTTTAGAATTTGTTTTGTTTTAAAATCTAGAGTAAAATTGGCTGGAAGAATGTGACTCGCTTATTGGTCTACACAACCGATGATGGTTTTCATTTTGCTGGGGATGGTAAGCTTGGAGCCATTTTAACACCTTTTGATGGAGAATGCCACTTGGAAGACAATATGTACAAAAAAAGTAATGAATATGTAAGTATACAAGTAGCTCTCAGCTAGCACTGCTATATGATAAGTAGTTTGCCTTTTCAATCTAGAGGTAGACTAGAGTTCATGTAAAACAGTCAGTTTGCACTATTCGCCCTCTAGAAATGAGAATCAAGATGTCAATCATTTTGACAATAAGAACATGATTTACCAGGTTATGTGCAATCCAATAAGCCATAATTATATTAAGGGTAAGATTTTATATTGTTTTTAATTACATCTAATTACACAATTGTATACTTGTGTATGTGTTTCCATTATATATTTAGAGTAACATGTACTTGTGTCTCCATATGTGTACACAAACCCCAACACACAGTGTGCTGCCTAAAAGAAATCCACAGAATAAAAAAAGAACAAACAAAATATTAAAATGTAGTAAGGCTGTAAACACGTCAACAATTATTAAAGAGAAGACCTGCCAAACTTGTGTGAATGCAGAAGTTATTTGTGTTTATTAAAACTGTACAAGATTTTTCAGGCTTCCAGGGGAAAAAATGAGTGGCTTTAATGAATGTCTGTGAAAGGGGCTGCCCTATCCACAGCACGTCTTGTGATCCCTGTCTAAGCATGCCTACTTCAAACCCATTGCTCCATGGCCCATCCCATAAAGGATGGTTTAGGACAGAAGACCTTGATTGTTTAGGCAAGACTAGTGAGGGTCATGTTCTGAGAGTGATCATCTCTACTCCTGTAAAGCAAGAGGTCTCATAATCTTATGCTCTGTCACTCATGAGTGATGCTGCTTGAACTACCAGTCACATGACATGATGCAAAAGAGAGACAGAGTAAAATAGTAGAATGCAATAGAGCATCCATACAACTAGGAATACAGTAAATAAGCATTCAGCAATTATTCCACTTGTTCTATCTCAATGGACTTTTGTAGCAAGAAAAAGTGGGAAGAGATAAAGTGGGAAAATATGAGTCGTACAATGACAGCCAAACCTTACTTGTACTGCCCAGATGAAAAATTCGGGCTGAGGCTGAAGCAGGGTGGTTTCTTGTCCAAAAGCTAGGTCAGAATTAGTGAATGGGTTAGGACCATCATCTGTGTTTATTTGAAAACAGAGCTCTCACCCCATTTCCTTGGTTCCATAGGACTATCCTTCTGTTGGTCAGTTGATACAAAAACTTAAAGAAAATAATATTCAGCCCATTTTTGCTGTTACCCAAAAAGTCTACGATACATATGAAGTAAGTAAATCTCCAGTAACATAGACGATTTTGTAAATTATGTCACATGAACAAAGCAAATGTTATTATGTTATGCTGCATGAAAGCTTATAAGATAATGCATGTTTGTTTTTTACTGGTAGAAACTGAGCAAGATGATCCCCAAGTCTGCTGTAGGAAAACTGCAGGAGAATTCAAATAATGTAATTCAACTCATCCAGCGTGCTTATGATGTAAGTGTTATTAATAATCTTCTTATCTTACTTAAGTTCACTTCCAGCTCATCGGCCATATACAACCCCTGGAAGCTACCTGCAGTTCAACACATCTGTCTCCATCCATCTCTCACTTCCAGGTAGCCTGACAATCTGCTTACTTACTGGCAAGCTGCAGAAGATCACTCTTGCAGTGAGGAAACAGAAAATCTCGTGACTTCTCATTTTCTCCCAGTCTAGTATTTATTGATGATAATGCCCTTTGTCAGCGTTGGGAATTTAAAAAAACATAATAGTTTCCCCCTTCCCCCCCCATCTAAAAGCTTAAAGCTAGTTCTTTTTTAAAATAAAATTTGTATTGCTTTTGAAATAATAATAAAAAAAGAAAAAAAGAAAAAGGAACAAGCCCAAAAGGATATGCATTGCCGTATCAAAAGGCTGTGTAAAAAACTGCAAGATAAATGCTTAAAATAAATGAAAATATATATCAGAAAAAGATACTGTAAAGACCTACAATTCTCTATGTAATTGTTTAATACAAATATTATTTGTATTAGATAATGATAGAATACATGTGGGGTGACTGTGTAAGGAAGATCTGTGTGTGAATTTGTGTGCATCCATCATGCAAAGCTGCGGCCCCAAAGATTTTGGTGTGGCCCTTGCAGTGAAAAAGAGTGCTAAGTCGGCTATTTATTTTACTATATGTAATTTACTAAAAAAGTGTCAGATAGAAAAAGTAAAAACAAAACAGCTGTTGGCTAGGATAACTATAGCTTAGCTTACCATTTTGCTTACCGGGTCAGAGAACAATGCATTCATTACAGGGAGAGAAAATCCAGCCATCTTCCAGAAACAAATGTTGCTGTGACTGTCTCTTGGTTTGGAAGACAATGTACTTACTATAAGAAAGTAGCAGTCAGTTGCATCAGTGGATCATCACTTACAATAAGATATGTCATCAAAAAGAGAGACACCAGAATTCTTTGGGGTTGATTAATTTTTTTTTCTATTCTATATGTAGGATGTGTAGCAGTGTGAACTTACAGGCAATAGAATCTTGTTTTTCTTCCACTGAATAATACGACACAGGTTCTAGTCTTTCATCAAGTTTATTTTTATTTCATTTTAGGATTTATCTTCCAAAATTATTTTAGAACATAGCTCTGTGCCAAGCTCCATCAAAATCTCATATGATTCCTTCTGCCTTAATAACATACATACAAAGAATCAACCAAGAGGGGAATGCGACAACGTAAAAATAAAGGATAAGGTAGGGGGTAACTCATACATGGTTTCTGTTGAAAAGTATTTTGATTGTAACGTACATGAAAAGAAAAGGCTAGTTTCTCCATTTCAGAAAATATTTACAAAAAGTTTTTTTATTTACGTACTAATTTATTTAAGCCTGTTCACCAAAGCTGTTAAAGATTCTGTTGAAAAGGTTTTTTTCTTTGAACTTAAAAGATACTATGCTCTTCTTAAAATTCCTTCCCATTCCTTCTTTTTACAACAATGCAAATAACATAAAATTGTGGCACTTCCTTTCTTAAAATACATGGCTGAGTCCCTTAGAGACAGGTTCTTGACAAAATGTTACATCTGGAGACAATCTTTATTGAAGTTGCTTTTGAATACATGTGGTGGCAGTTGTTTTCCAAAGTACAGTTCCTGCTCAAGACAAATATACAGTAGAACAAAATGTAGCTTTTAATACTGGAGGTATTTTGTCTGATCTCCCTCCCTCCCTCTCTCCCTCCCTCCCTCCCCCCCTCTCTCCTGATGCTTAATTAATGGACTTATTAATCTAGAGTTCAGTACTGTTAAACAGGACTGTCTTTTTGGCAATCCTTCCCACTCCAAAGAACAAATAGGGACTGAGGTTAGTATGATTTATCGCTAGTTAGTGTTTATTACAATTCACATATAAAAACAAGTATGGTATCTGCTAAAGTGAAACTAAATTCCTGCTTTTACACATTTATAACTTATTCTGATTTACCTTTACATATTAACTCCATATATTAATTATGTATTTGACCATTTTTAAAAAAATAAATCAATCCCCATGCCTGCTAATATGGGTATTTATTTATTTATTTGTCAAATTTATACAGCTGCTTATCTCATAAAACAAGTGACTCTGGGCAATGTGTAACAAGCTAAAAACAGTTAAACTAAATACAGAAGTATTATTATTATCATTCAAAACATTAAAAACTATAAAAATCAAAGTTAAAAGGAGGAAATATTGAGCAAAGGGGTGTTAATAATGTAGCATTTCTCTCAAAGTCTCTGCCTCGATCAGAGTGTATTCACTGGGGCAGTCCATAGTGAACAAAACATTTCTCCATCAGGACTCTGGCTACCCTAGCAACCTGTTGATCTTTAACTGGAAAAGCCTGGGCATAGCAGGGGAAATGATCAGTTACTACCAGAACATTTCCCTGTTCACTTGTATGGGGCTCCAAACACAGAAAGCACACTAACTCCAAAAATCCTTGACTTTGTAGGTGGCCCACTGGGGCAGCCCTGGAAAGATAACAACTTTCATTGCATACAATGTAAACAGGAGTGACAATAACCTTCAACTTCAGCCTTCGTGCAAAGCCAGTAGAACTGATCTCTTACTAGCTTAAAAGTTCTGTCTGGTCCCAAATCACCATGGTCATCATGTAAAGCAGCCAACACTGTTTCTTTATGCTTTTCAGAAACAATTGCCACTTATTTTCAGGGCTATCTGAAGGGTTCCATTTTTTATGCAACAGTTGGGCTTCCTTCAATGAATCAGTCAGCAAAGACGTCCATTGGCCACTCTCTAGGGCCTTCACAGTCAAGTTGCAAAAGGGGGGGTGGTCTTCTGCTTTATCCTTCCTCAAATCTTTCTTGATAAGAACAGGCAGACCTCCATATTTCACTTGGGTTGGATTGGAATATAGCTTAGGGAAACACATGGCAATGACCCCAATAGCTTCTGCCCCTATTGCTCCTCTAGTTCGATATCCAACTCCTTGGCACAGGGCTTGTATACCCTCTGGTGTCAACCAAGTCCATTCGTCAGCAGTGGCTTTAGAGTCATAAGGCCTTCTCCATAGGCTGTCTGAATCTCTTTTTCCCACTCCTGGTCAACACTTTCAACTGAAGTGGAGTCCAGAGAGGGCAATCAACCATCGTTGTCCTGTGGCATCAGATTTGGCTGTCATGAAGAGGTATATAAGTGGGTTGTTGTTGGTCTTGATCTGCTCCATACAAATAGTTCTTCAACTTATCCACCACACCCACTTCAACTCCAGGAATTCCAGCTTATGAGTGGGGTAGTTCTCTGCTGGGGTGAGCTCCTACTAATATAGGCAACAGGGCTCAAATGTCTATCATGCTTCTGATACATTACCCCACCAAGGTCATCTCTGCTAGTGTCAACATGTAGCTCATAGGGCCAGGTTTAGTCTACTTAGGCCAGAACTAGGGGATTAGTCAGGTAACCATTGGGTTTGGCTAGCTTAAAGAAAAGAAGAAATGGGGTGACATGATAGCAGTATTCCAGTATTTGAGGGGCTGCCACAAAGAAGAGGAGGTCAAACTATTCTCCAAAGCACCAGTGGGCAGGATAAGAAACATTGGTTGGAAACTGACCAAAGAGAGAAGCAACCTGGAATTAAGGAGAAACTTCCCAACAATGAGGACAATTAATCAGTGGAACAGCTTGCCTTCAGAAATTGTGGGCGCTCCATCACTGGAGATTTTTAAAAAGAGGCTAGACATTCACCTGTCTGAGATGGTATAGGTTCTCCTGCTCAAGCAGGGGGCTGGACTAGAAGACCTCCAAGGTCCCCTCCAGCTTCTATTCTATTCTATTCTATTCGCAAAAAGTCTGCTGATACTGTTTGGTCCATTCCCCCTATATTGGCTCTTGAGACTTTCTGGGCCCTTTGTCTTGGCTGGGCTGACCATAGAAATGATCTCAATTCAGTTACGTTTCAATTCAGAATTCTAGAAATTATCTCAATTCAGTTTTGGGGCCTGAGCCAGGAGGGGGTGGCTTCCAACTTTGTGCGGCCAGTCAATGTTCCTTCTGCAGAAACAACACACCTGAAATAGGTGACAGATGGCTAATAAAACTGACACTTCTTAAAGGACAACTTCAACTCCTCATTGTGGAGCCATTTTAAGACCCGTTCTAGATGCTCCTCATGTTCTTCTAGTACAGACGTGTCAAACTGCCGGCCCGCAGGCCGGACGCGTCATGTGAAAGCCGCACCCAGCCCGTTGCCAGCAATGGCAAAACTGTCCTGATACATTGCACGACATCATGTGACATTGCGAGTTTGACATGTCTGTTTCTAGTGTCTCACCAAAAGCAATAATGTCATCCAAATACACCAGCACCTCAATCAGATTCATGTTTCCTACCATCCATTCCATGAGTTTCTGGGAGGTCGCTGAGGCTCCCAACAGACTCTGGGGCATCCAATTATACTCATACAACCGAGCAGGCAAATGAAAGTGGTCTTCTCTCAGTCATAGGGTGCATAGGAATCTGATGGCATCCACATCTCCGATTATGCTGGCCATTGTTGAGCCAAAGGGGAGGCAGTGAGACATTTTTAGCTTGAGCAAAATTGCTCACCATAAGGCTTAACATTTTATATTATTGTGCTGTTTAATTGGATTTTATCTTAAAAGCCACCATTTTAAAGTATTTATTGTGTTTATTGCCTTGGTGCTTATTGCTATTATCTGTAGTTTTTTTTTAATTTGACTTTATTTTAAAGACCACTATTTTAATGTGCTTGCTGGGTTACTGGCTATATATTTATTGTCTTGGTGCTTGTTTCTATTACCTGTAGTTTGATTTTATTTTAAGGATCACTATTTTAATGTGCTTGCTGTGTTATTGCTTATATGTTTATTGCAGTGATGATAGTTCCTGTTTAATTTGATGTTATCCTAACAATCATTATTTTAATTAAAGCCCATAACTCCCTCCAAAATGTGTTGGTATTCTTGGGACAGGTGAGCTAGTCACCTGGGAAAAGGGATAGAAGCGCCTGATTGCTAATGGCCCCTTTGAGGGAAGCACTACACTAAAAACAGAGCCACTTCAATAAAAATGCACCATCCCCTTGAGGTCCCCAGGCTTGATGCCACAGCCAGGTCATGAGGGCCTTCAGAAGGTCAGGGGAGGAGATTCCACAATGCAGGCACCCTAGCAAAAAAAGGCACCCTCCCTAGCACCTGCCAAATGAGATTCCCTTGCCAACAGAACATTAATATACATTAATATAAACAATAATGTACATTAATGTTTAAATTTAGGAACCTAGTCTTAAAGCAAATCTCTGTAATTTGGCCTTGTACATTGCTTTTTTGTATGTACTGTAGAGTTCCATTTATTTCACATAGACATGTCAAACTTGTGACATCACGTGATGTTGCGCAACGTATTGAGACTGTTTTGCCATTGCCGGCAATGGGGTGGGCGTAGCTTCCATGTGACGTGTCCGGCCCAAGGGCCGGCAGTTTGACACCCCTGATATAGTACTAGGGTTATTTGGTTTTTTTAACAGTTTTATTTTATTCAAAAAAATAAAATCTAAAATCCAAAAGAAAAAAATTGAACAGAGACAAAACAAAACTAAACAAAAACATTGAAAAAAATGTGAATTAAAAAAAAACAAATGACAAACATACATATCATCCTCCCAGTTGAACACTGACAAATCTATTGCAGCAGTAAATGGCTTTCCCCCCTTGCAAAGTAGGTCCCAAGTTTATAAGCTTGTAGATCTATTTGCAAACCGATTGACCTGTTATACATTACATATGTGAAAGAAAAAGTAGTTAACAAATTTAAAATTCAAAGCACTCTGTTAACAGTCTGTTACTGTAACTTACTCATAGAAAGTTTCATGTTTACTACAAATTGCTCTGATTGTTATCTCTGAGTACAGGGCCAAATACCCTTGTTTGGTTCTTAGTAGTGAAACCTTTCTTTAGGTTATTAATTGGAAACTTTACCAACAATTGCATCTTATTTCCAAAGTTCATAAGTCTCTGTTGTAAATATTTCTACAACATCCATTGTTGAATAATCCTTGACATCACAGCATTTTATTTAATCAAGTGATAATCATAATTTGTAAATAATTAGATAAATAATTAATGAAATACTAGATCTCTACTAATTATTTTAAATGTCATTTGAGACTAGATGGGGCAGTCCTCTGTTTTTTTTTTTGGTTTTTTTTTACAGATTACCTTCCAAGTGCAAATTACAGCAACATCATGCATTGAAAATCAGACTCTTATTCTGCAGCCTCTTGGTTTCACAGACTTCACCACTGTACATATATCTAGTCGGTGCAACTGTGAATGTGATGAGGAATTACCAAATAAATCTGATTGCAATGGACAAGGGGTTATCACCTGTGGGATTTGCAGGTAATCTAACTATTTTAGCAACACAAGTCAAATATTTGCAGTTGAGAACCAGTTTGGTCTAGTGTTTAAGGCACCAAGCTAGAAAGCAGGAAACCACAAGTTCAAGTCCCGCTTTAGCCATGAAAACCAGCTGGATGACTTTGGGCTCTTAGCCCACCTCACAGGGTTGTTGTTGTGTGGAGGAAGGTGTTTTGGATATGTTTGCCGCCTTAAGTTATCTGTAAAAATAATAAAGATGGGGTATAAATAAGTAAATAATGGGATTAGAATTTCTGTGTTACCCAATGCAGTCATATATTGCAAAATCATGTTTCTGTATCATTTAGTGATAGCAATCTCAGCAGGTCCAGTTGCCATTGTAACTCCAGGACTATTTAGGTCATTAAGCAGGAAGAGCTGGGAATTTTGGGCAAGGAGTGCAGGGTGATGCACAGATGTCATGAGGCAATACGCAGATACTGCAGGTAGGCACTATAGAGGTTATGTGCAGATGCCGCAGGGGATGAGGGATGTTGAAAGCAGGAGCTACAGAGTGCTGGCAGGTGGGGGGGTGCTATGGATTATGGGGTCCCTGGAGCTCTGTGAGCTTGATTATTCTCTTGTGGACATTTCATTACCAAACTAGGTAACATCATCAGCTCTAGAAGGCAGTGAAGATTGCTCTCATTTTATATATATTTATTAGTGGCTTGCTCAGTCAGTGTTGATGGGAGTGGTCTTGGTGGTTCCTTGTTTAGGCTGTTGTTTACTGTTAGCTTGTTTGACTGAGTTTGTGGTGCTTTGATTGTGATATTATTTACTTCTTGATTGTTGGTCTAATATTAATTTTGGTAATAATCTTTGCGCATCTGGGTGTTGATTGCTGGTGAGGAGGTGTTTGGGTCTTTTGGGTTCCTTCTTGGCTTTTTGATTGTCCCTTTTGAATGGTATGTAGATGCTATTTAACTCTATGTATTATTGATATCTGATTTTTCTGTGTCAGGGTTCTAGGAATTCTCTAGCATTTTTGGACTTGGCTTGGTGTAGGATGTTCATAGTTTCCCAATTGAAACCATGATTAAATCTTCCATCTGTTGTAAAAATAAGAAGTTTTCCTCATGTTTTTTGAACGCTAGTTGATGTTCATAGATGTATTCTGCTAATCTTCTGCCTTTTATAGTTTGAGTAGTTTGGTCTGTAGTTTGGTTTTCCCTTTCCCAGCATGTCTCCAGGATGTAATCTTCATGAGGATTGTCAGCCTTTCTATGTGCTCTGATGTGCTGGTCTGTTCTTATTGTTCCTTGAGGTTTTTCATGGTGGCTGATATTTGTTTTGTCTGAGGTGTGCAACCATGATCATGAGCCATATAATTTTCTGCTTACTTTCTTGAGCTATTTTCCATCCAGCTGTGCAGTTTATTGGAGATTTGTCTTTGACACTGACGGGCAGGGCATGCACCTGGAACCACCAAGACCCCTCCTACCATCACTAACAAGCAAGCCAGTAGTGCATAAAAGAAAGCAAACCCCACTCCGTCAGAAAACCAAGCTCAGAGAGCACCACAGCTATACCCTGAGATACAAATATTCTCAGTGGTGAGATTCAAATATGTGAACAACCGATTCTCTGTGTGGATGCCACTTCTGGAAGTCCATTCTGAGCCTGGGCAACAAAAAATTAGCTACTAGTTCTGCCGAAGTGGTGCAAACCGACTGAATCCCACCACTGTCCTCACCTCTTTGTGAGGACAATTAACCAGTGGAACAGCTTGTCACCAGAAGTTGTGAACATTCCAACACTGGAGGTTTTTAAGAAGAGACTAGACAGTCACTTGTCTGAAATGGTATAAGTTCTTTATACCATTCTAACCGTGCTCAAGCAGGGGGCTGGAATAGAAGACCTCCAAGGTCCCTTCCAGCTATTCTATTCTATTCTTGTAAGGACCCACCCCACTTTGCATCTTAAGAAGACAGAACTCTTGGAATAATTCTTCCAACAGGAATCCTTTATTAAGAAGAAGTGGCTGCAGGCGTGCTAGACAGGACTTGGGGTCCAAGCTCTCCCATTCAAGGTTTTAAGGGGTTCCCCAGTAGTCCCACCCAATCATCCCCCCTTCCAGTGATAGTTTCAGGCATCACAATTCCACCCCTTTATTCCTTTCTTCCGTCTGGATGGAGACTTCAGATAAACTACATGAAAGGTAAATAGCCCCCTTTGTTATGGTAAGATTCTTTGGTGCTAACTACGTTCAAACTCTTTGAGGTTGCATTAAACACATTCAGTTTCTTAGAAGTATACTGAAGGAAGTGAGGGCCATAAAGCCCCTTTGTTCTCCCCCTTCTCTCCCTCTTATGGCAGAATCCAGAGAAGGCAGAATTAGGGTTTTCTATGTTTGATAATTAAAGATGAAATATAATTGGATTCTGACATCCGGCCCCTCTTAAAAATAAGAGAGATTCACCTGAAAGAAAACAAAACAGGTATAAAAGTTAGTCAGGCTTGTTAGGATACTCTGTGTGAAACTTCTTCAATAGCTTCAGGGCTCTGACATGACGTTTATGGACCCACTCGTTTTGTGAGGGAGGGAGGTGTTTCCAGGCAACTAGGTACTGAGTTGCTCCATGATATCTCCTAGAGTCTCTTTTATTTCGAAGTGTTGTTCGCCCTCCACCATGATTGGAGGTGGTGGGGGGGGGATTTTTGGCCGTAAAGGTGACTGATGTTCTCTTTTCAGCAAGCTGCAATGAAAAATTGGGTGTATTTGCCTGAGATTTTGGGGTAATTCTAATTCTACTGTTACTGGATTTATGATTCTTTTAATTGGAAAAGGTCCTATGTATTTTGGTCCAAGTTTTTTACAGGGCTGTAGGGACTTTAGGTATTTTGTAGATAAGTACACCATTTCTCCTATAATGAATGGTGTAGGCTCAACCCTTTTTTTATTGGCTTGTGCTTTGTATGCCTGCCTAGCTTCATCTAGTGCTTTTCTAACTATTGGCCAGGTGTTTTGTAGATTTTCCATCCATTCTTTCAGTGAAGGGATCGTTGGTTCGTTTGGGGTTAACTCTGGCATAGGGTTGAAACTTTGACCGTTGGCTATTTGAAAAGGAGTGTAGCCTGTGCTGGAGTGGACTGCATTATTGTAGGCAACTTCTGCAAAAGGGAGTAAGTCCGTCCAATCACTCTGTTGGAAATTTAAAAAACATCTCAAATATTGCTCAAGTACTGAATGGCACCGTTCCATTTGTCCATCTGTCTGAGGGTGATGGCTAGATGTCAGTCCCTGAGTGGTCCCTAAGAGGGATAAAAATTCCTTCCAAAATGCAGACGTAAATTGCACTCCCCTATCAGAGATGATGCGTTGGGGTGCCCCGTGCAATCTGTAAATGTGCTGGATGAAAAGTCTTGCTAAGGCCTTTGCAGTGGGAATCTTTTGGCAAGGGATAAAGTGCACCTGTTTGGAAAACAAGTCCGTGACTGTCCAGATAACAGTATTCCCATTGCTTTCTGGCAATTCCACTATAAAATCCATGGCTATTTCCCTTCAGGGAGCTGAGGGACTTGCCACTGGTTGTAATAGCCCTGGCGATTTGCCTTGCAACCTCTTTTCCGATGCACAGGTTGGGCAGCTGGCAACATAACTTTCTATGTCCTTTTTTATTGATGGCCACCAAAATTGCCCTTTAATTAAGTGTAAAGTTTTTACAAATCCAAAATGCCCTGCTGATTTTGTGTCATGGCAAAGCTGCATGAACGTGATTCTTTGGGTTGTTGGTATATATAACTTTTCCCCTACCCAAGGCAACCCGTCTCTCATTGTGCACACATTTTTGTTTTTCTGGAACCATTCATCTGTTTCCAAACTTTTTCTGAATTCAATTCCAGTTTGGCTGTCCAGTTGTGGTTTTAATTTGGCTTGGGTTCTTGTGGTTACTGGTGCTGCCAGTTGTGACTCTGCCATTATTGGTCTAGAGTCTGTGGTTCGTGCGCTGTTATATTGGGGCATGCGAGATAGTGCATCTGCCAGGAAGTTCTTTCTTCCTGGTAAATGTTTGAGCTTAAATTGGAACTGGTGAAAATGCTGGGACCAGAAGGCTTGTTTGGGATTGAGTTTCCTGGACGTTTTCAGGGCTTCTAAATTTTTGTGATCGGTCCACACCTGGAAGGGGATTTTGTTGCCTTCCAGGAACTGTCGCCACGTGAGTAATGCCCAACGTATCCCATAAGCCTCCTTCTCCCATACGGGCCAGCGCTGTTCTGTTTCCGTGAGTTTCTTGGATGTATATGCACAGGGTTGCAATACTGCATCATCATTTTCTTGTAATAGCACAGCCCCCACTGCCACATCACTTGCATCTGCCTGTATTACGAAGGGTTTGTCCATGTCTGGGTGCCTTAGTACTGGTTCGGCAGAAAAAAGTCTCTTTAGTCTCTCAAACGCTGCTTGGCACTCCATTGTCCATGTTAGTGGCTGGCTAGGTTTTACTGAGGATGCTCCCTTTGTTTTTAGTAAGTTAGTGAGGGGCAAGGCTATCTGGGCAAATGAGGGGATGAATTGGCAGTAAAAGTTTGCAAAGCCCAGGAAACTTTTCTTGTGCGGGGTGGTGCCCAATCTAATACTGCTTTGACCTTCTCTGGGTCCATTTCAATGCCCTGTGGGGATATGCGATAACCTAGGTAGTCTATCCTTTCCTGGTGGGTTCTATTCTATTCTATTCTAATTCTATTCTATTCTATTCAATTCTATTCTATTCTATTCTATTCTATTCTATTCTATTCTATTCTATTCTTGCTACAGAGTATCTCAAACTTCATAGGAGTTTCATAGGAGTTGCAAGCTCCTCAGGAGGCAGGAGCAATTTGTGGGAGTGAGTTGCAACCTTCCCTGCTCATTACCCTGTTGACTTTGTTGTGGGAAGCCAGCAAGGAAGGTTGCAAATGGTGATCATATGACTAAGGGGAGGGGGTGCTATAATGGTCAGAACTTCAAGAAACAGTTGTTAGTACTGTCACAGTTGCGACAAACTGAACTGAAACTATTTTTCATTTTGTCTTCGTTGCCACACTTTAGTTTAGAGCAGGGGTTCTCAGCCTTGGCAACTTTAAGACTTGTGGACTTTGCTGGCTGAGGAATTCTGGGAGTTGAAGTCCACAAGTCTTAAAGTTGCCAAGGCTGAGAACCCCTGGTTTAGAGATTTCAAATGAAGGAGGGGGAAGGGGGATGTTAAGTTTCTCAGTTAGCCATAATAATACTTCTATGTGAGAATCAAGGTCAGCCCTGACAAGGGTTGAAAAGCTGGGAGGAGAGCCCACATTTTGAAATAATTGGTGAATGTGATTTATGATGGTAGTTTGGGGTGGGAATTGCAACTTGTTATTTTGTAGCCTGAGGGAGGGGATTTCAGTCTTGGGTTCACCTATGTAAATGCCGATATTTTGTTTCCTGAATAAAATGTTCTTTAAGGAAGAAATCTTTGCCTTGAAGTTCTTTTAAATGGTTTCATTTATCAGAACCATGATATCTTGTTCAGTGCCATTGTAACTTTGAATGGGCACTGAAAAAGTGGTTATAACTTGAGAACTATCTGTACATCAATATTTTCATGCAGTCTGTCTATCAAAAACTGCTCTTATAGAAAAAAAAAACAAATGCTTGCTTGAATTTTTCAAGGCAAGGAATTTAATTTGAGAACAATCAATAGTAATAAAAAACATTTTGGGGAGGGCTCATGGTCTCCCAGTTTCTAGACTAGTGCCTTAATCACTACATCAAACTGGCTTTCTGAGTACCTACCTAGCAAATATTTCATACTGAATCATTTTCTTATCACATTCACAAATCTTCTGGGTAATTTTTATTTAACACATGCATACTATACAGAAACCTTTTAAAAAATGTAAAACATAAACTTATGAAACAAAGTGGAAATAAAAAATATCTGATAGTATATACTTAGAAATGGAATATTTGCCTGAAGCATTTGTGATTGTCGCAAGTGAATTCAAATAGCAATTCACTAACCTGAAAAGAATTATGTAATCTGTACAGTCTGAGCAGCAGAGGCATCCATGGACTGGATCCTGACAAAAAAGAAATTAGTAGAATAATTCTATGCCTCTCCATCCAGAAGTAGGAATCCTTCTGTTGTGATTCCTCGCCAGCCAGTGGACCCGGCAGCTGAGTCAGAGGAATCAGAGGAGGAAGAGGAGAGGCCTGGAGGGACATCAGAGTCAGAGGAAGGCTCTGAGGAGCTCCAAGACTTACATTCTGACAAGGATCTTGGCCCCTTTACTTGCACTCAGGCTGAGACACAGCTGTGCTGGGAGTCTGAGTTGGACAGTGATGAATCACAGCTGGAAGATATCCAGGATGCACATAAACGCCGACAAGAAAAGAGAGTCGGACAGAGGAATGCAATGGTGTGGCTCCAAAGGCAAAGGAGAAGGCATTAGGAAGCCACACCTTGGCTGCATAATAAAAGGAAAGATGTGGGAGGTGCTGGTTGCCAAAGGCAACCATTTGTGTTGAGGATCAAGTTTCTATGAACTGTGTTTTGTTTGCCTTGGACATTGATTCGGGTCTGTGAATAATAAATGGGGATTGGTTTTTTTCCCTGCAGTTCCAGCCTACTTGTTGGAAGAGGGGTTCCTCCTTGTGAGCTTAAGAAGGACTCACGTAGGCTGGGACAGATCACCTTCTTTGATGAGTATATATGGATGCAGACTGTATAGTAGCAGATTATAAATACAGATAAAGGAAACTGTAATTGAAAATAAGGTTGATCATAATAATGATGCTTGCTAACTCTATTCTTTGATGTTGAATATGTCTTCTCTTATGCCAGATGCAATGCTGGCTATGTTGGAAAGAACTGTGATTGTAAGACTGGAGGCAAAACCAGGAAGGAACTGGAAAAAACCTGTCGAAAGGACAATTCTTCAGTCATTTGTTCTGGCCTGGGAGATTGTGTATGTGGACAATGTATTTGCCATACTATGGCAGATTCCAAAAAGCATATTTATGGTCCCTTCTGTGAATGTGACAACATGAACTGTGAACTTCACAATGGTCTAGTGTGTGGAGGGGAAGGTAAGTGATTGATGAAAGCTGAATATGAAAATACCAAATTTATCTCCTCTGGCCTTTGATACTATTACTCCAGACATTCTTACTATAAGCTGTAAAGCATATGATTCCCATTACACACTGTTATTTTTCTGTATTTTACAAAAGAGTTGTATAAATAGAAATTTAATCCACACTGTATAATTTGGAAGTAAATCAGCTGATATCCATATACCTAGAATGAATTTTTGGTGTAAATAAATATTGACTATTTCCTTTAGAATATTGTTTATTTCACAGTTTTTGAACATCCAATTTGCCAGGGACAAGTTATTGCATTGAGGATCACTGCAGTATTTTTCATATGATACCCAGAATTCCAGGGTTTCTGTACCTGCAGTGGATCACTTGTGAATGGCTGGCCATGTGCAGCAGAGTGCTGACCTGTATTTAGTAACCCTTTCTAGATAACCCATTCTGGATGTTATGTGTCAAGGACAGATGCAAAGAAATGCTTTTGGCCCTAACCTCTCTAATTTCTCTTTTCAGAAAGAGGTGTTTGTGACTGTGGGAAATGTAAATGTAACTCAAAATATGATGGCTCTGCCTGTCAGTGCCTAGCTTCAACAGAAAAATGTCGGAATAAATATGGGAATGTGTGCAGTCTCCGGGGGGAATGTCAGTGCAATACATGCAAATGTAATGGACGCTATCAGCCCCCTCTCTGTGAGGAGTGCCCAAGCTGCCCATCTCCCTGTGCCAGATATGTGTAAGTGATATGCGGGAACTGTCTACTTTGATCCAATTCCTTATCCTCACTTAATTTCACTTTGCTATTTGTAACGTACAGATCAATCAACCTGACATCATTACCTGGAAGATCCTGGAAAAGATAATCAAATACTTTAAAACCAGCAAAGCTATTACTGGAAGCCAACATGGGTTTGTCAAAAAGAGATAATGCAAGACAAATCATATTGAATTATTTGACAAAATGACTAAATTAGTGGACCAGCCCAATGCTACAGACATAGTATACTTGGACTTCAATAAGGCACTTGACATAGTAGACCACAACCTACTTCTTGGTAACTACCTTGAGAGATAAATCGCATCCACCTGATGGATTCATAACTGACTGACCAACCACATTCAACATGCAGTCCTCAATGGAACTACATCCACATGGATGAAGCATACAAAGTTCTTTCTTAGGCCCAGTACTCTCCAACATTTTCATAATTGATTTAGATGAGGGGTGAGACCAAGCTAGCAGGAATAGGCAGCACTTTAGAAGATAGGGTCAAAATCCAGAAGGATCTTGACAGACTTCAATGCTGGGCCCTACCCAACAACATGCAATTCAGTGGTGAGTAAGGTAAGGTTTTATACTTAGGGAAGAAAAACCAAATGTACAAGTAAAGAATAGGTGGTACTTGGCTCAACAGCAGTAACAGTGAGAGGGATCTAGTAGTCCTAATGGATAACCACTTAAATGTAAGCCAGCAGTGTGCTGCAGCTGCCAAAAAAGGAAATGCAGTTCTAGGTTGCATCAAAAGAGGGATAGTATCACATGAAGTGTTAGTGCCATTTTATACTGTTTTGGTAAAATCACACTTGGAATACTGTATCCAATTTTGGTCACTATGATACAAAAAAAGATGTTGAAACTCTAGAAATGGTACAGAGAATGGCAACAAAGATGATTAGGGAGCTGGAGGCTAGAACATGAAGAATGGTTGCAGGAACTGGGTATGTCTAGTCCAGGGGTCTTCAAACTTGGCCCTTTTATGACTCATGGATTTCAACTCCCAGAATTCCTCAGCCAGCATGCCTGGCTGAGGAATTCTAGGAGTTGAAGTCCATGAGTCATAAAAGGGCCGAGTTTGAAGACCTCTGGTCTAGTCTAATGAAAGGAAGGATGAGGGATGATATATGAGAGCAATCTTCCAATATTTGAGGGGCTGTTGCAGAGAGGAGGGTGTTAACTTATTTTCTAAAGCTTTCTGGAAAAGATTCTAATGCTGGAAAGAAAGAGAAGAACAGGATGACCAGTAACAAGATGAATCAGGTTAGGGACAGATTATCATAGAGAAAATCTGTGTGGTTGCCAAGAGTTGACATTGACTTGATAGCATATAATCAGTCTATCAATAGTTAATCTAATAGGAAAGATTTTCTTCAGAATAACAGAAAAATAGAGTTGGAAGGGATCTTAGAGGTCTTCTAGACCAACTCTCTATTCAAGAAGGAGACTTTATACCATTTTGGACAAATGGCTGTCCAAACTCTTAAAAACCATCCAGTGATGGAGCACCCACAACTTCTGGAGGCAAGCCATTCCATTGATTAATTGTTCTCATTGTTAGGAAATCTCTCTTAGTTCTAGGTTAGATCTTTCTTTGATATGTTTCCATCCATTGCTTCTTGTCCTGCCTTCAGCTCCTTTGGAGAATAAATCAATCCCTTTTTTTCTGTGGCAAACCCTTAGATATTGAAACACTGCCATCATGTCACTCTTTGTCCTTCTCTTCATTAGCTATCAGTTTCTCTTCATTAGCTATCAGTTAAATGTTAAATGTAATTTTACAGTAGCAATAATGCAGCAAAATTATTTTTCTATCATTATATCCAGGGCTTTTTTTCTTGTAGAACGCCCAGAACGGAGTTCCAGCACTTTTTTGGGATGGAACCTTGTAGGGTAGGCAAGGTGGGTTGTATGATGTGTGTGAGTTCCGGCACCTTTTTTTTTTTTTAGAAAAAAAGCACCAATTATATCTAATTGTTTTTTTACAGTGTGTTGCTGATAGTTCATAGGCCTTTGGGTATATGAGTATCTTGATCTATAAATGCAAATGAAGTTGATGGAGCAGTGCTTATTAATAACTAATAACATTTATTAAATCTATAGGAATGTTGACATCACCAGAACTTTTCCTACCTTAATCTGGCTAAGTAAACTTTTAACCTTTGAAGTAGTGACTGGGCTAGTGATTGTAACCTATCAAACATAATGTAAATGGAAGTAAATTTCCCTTTTGGGGGGCGGAATAGGATAAACAGCTCTGGGTTCATTTTGTCAAATATTTCCTGCTATAATACTTTAAAATTTAATTGTAACACTCTTCTTAATAGACTGAGCAAGTTATTGCCAAGCTTTGTGCATCATTATACTTTTTTATGTTTAAGTGATGCCTTGTGCAGGTATTCCTTGACTAACAACCCTTTGTTTATTTGAAGTTACAATGCACTGAAAAAATTTACTTATGATAGTTTTTCACACTTCTGACCATTGCAGCATCCCCATGGTCATGTAATCAAAATTCAGATGCTTGGCCACTGGCATGTATTTATGATGGTTACAGTGTCGGGGGAGTGTGTCACAGGATCACCTTTTGCGAACTTCCAATAAGCAAAGTCAATGGGGAGGCCAGATTCACTTAACTGTGTTACTAACTTAGCAACTGCAGTGATTCACTTAACAATTGTGGCAAGAAAAATCGTAAATCAGGGCAAAACTTGCTTAACAACTGCCTTGCTTAGCAACAGAAATTTTGGGCTCAGTTGTGGTTATAGGTCTTTTTCCACAATAACAGACTGCTGCTGCTTCTTCAAACTTACTCTTGCTGTATACTAACTCATATTTTCTTAGCAGCTATACATTTATGTTTAAACCAGGGTTTTTGTCATGCCTCCTTCGGAGCCTGAATCTGCGGAGGAAAATGAGCTGGAACGGGACCCTATGGAGGTCGAGGGATAGGTGTCTGTGGCTTCAGAGGAATGTGAGGAAGAGCAGGCAGAGGCAGGCCGGGGCCCTTCAGGAGTGGGACAGGTTGAACAGGAGAGACAGAGTTCAGGCGATGAGCAAGACCCATCCCCACCTGATCCTAGAGCACGGAGAGTGGAGAGAAGGAAGGAAGGATGCAGGCAGGCTCAACTACTCAGGAGGAGAGCATCCTGCCCCTCTCCACAAGGCACATCTGGAGAATGAGACTTAAGGAGACACTGTGGGGAGAGGCATTTGTTGGGAACAAACACTGATTCCTTGGAGTTTTGTGTGTCTTGTTGCTGATCTCTTGTTCTATGACTTCTGCTTGAAAACCCAGAAACTCTGACCCTTGGATTGGCTGACAACGTTACTTGGATGTTTATAGATCTCGGACTGTCTTTTGGCTTCCCTTTTGAAACTGCTCACACAAGCATGTATTCACACAGACTCATTAGGTTTATGATGTATGTGTCATTCTCTCTTATATCCATGACCTTGAGTAAATTACTCTCCTAATCAGACAGTATGTGAAACTACTTGCAGCCAGAGGTGTGTGTGTCTTCCGTTGTTTGGAGGCTTGCCAGAAACGTGGGAGCATTTGGGGAAAATTTGGAGCAATTAAAGGGCGGTTTGAATTGCCAGCTGACTGCATTGCCTCTGTGCTGTGCCCTGGGTCATCACAGTTTTGATTTAGAAGAACAAATTCAAATTCACATTGTTTTCTTAAAAATCAAAGACCTTTGGAGGCATGATAAGATCTGAAGCAATTCTAAAAATGTATTTGATCACCCAATGTAAATATACTGGTTTGTGGATACAGAACTGAAGACATTCATCAATACTTTAGACCAGGGGTGTCAAACTTGCAATGTCACGTGACGTGTCGTGAGGTAACACAACTTTTTTTCCATTGCTAGCAATGGGGTGGGCGCGGTTTTGGCATGATGCATCTGGCCCGTGGGCCAACAGTTTGACACCCCTGCTTTAGACAGATCACTAGTCCAGCATATTGTATATGCATGGGGCATTCCCATTCAACTGATCAGAAAGAGATATAGGCAGGCAGGCAGGCAGACAGGCAGACAGACAGACAGACAGACAGACAGATAGACAGACAGACACTGGTACATAGATAGAGATAGATGATAGGTAGAGTAGAGGTATAGATATATGTGTTGTGTTGTGTTGTGTTGTGTTGTGTTGTGTTATGTTATGTTATGTTATGTTATGTTATGTTATGTTATAATACATTCCCAAGCTATCATGGTGAGAATCAATATGATCAATAGCTTATCATTTCTGATTTATTGTCAAGAGTGAAAATTTGGCAGCTACCTGCCTCTCTGTTTTCATCTTGCCATTAAAGTAAGGGCGGGGGAGGTTTTGCTTTTGAATGAATTAGTTAGAGAAATGAAACCTCTCCAGTTCTACGGAAGAGAACTTGTTTACATGAGCTACATAGATATCTGGGGGGTTTGGCTGGGAAAGTCATTGTTATATGCTATGGTCTGATGCCTTGGGATAGAATAGAATAGAGCTGAAAGGGACCTTGAAGGTCTTCTAGTCCAGCCCCCTGCTTAAGCAAGAGACCTATACCATCTCAGACAAGTGACTGTCTGGTCTCTTCTTAAAAATCTCCAGTGATGGAGTGCCCATGATTTCTGGAGGCAAGCTGTTCCCCTAGTTAATTGTCCTCACTGTCAGGAAATTTCTCCTTAATTGCTTCTCTCTTTGTTCAGTTTCCAACCATTGTTTCTTATCTTGCCCTGTGATGCTTTGGAGAAAAATATGACCCCCTCGTTTTTGTGGCAGTCCCTCAAATACTGGAATACTGCTATCATGTCACCCCATTTCTTCTTTTCTTTAATCTAGCCAAACCGAAGTCCTGCAGCCATTCTTCATATGTTTTAGTCTCCAGGCCTTTGATCATCTTAGTTGCTCTTCTCTGAATTTTTTCCAAACTCTCAACATCTTTTTTGTGATAAGGTAACCAAAATTGGCTGCAGTATTCCAGGTGTGGTCTTACTAGGGTTTTATAAAGATACTAATAAAGGTACTAATACTTTGTGTGATCTTGATTCTATGCCTCTGTTTATACAACCCATGATTGTATTAGCTTTTTTGGTTGCTGCTACACATTGACCATTCACTAGGACTCCAAGATCCCTCTCACAGTTACTGTTTTTAAGCCAGGTCTCCCCCAGTCTGTACTTGTACCTTTGATTTTTCCTGCCTAAATGTAAAACTTTGCTTTTCTCCACATTGAAACTTATTTTGTTGGACAGGGTCCATTGTTCAAGTTTGTCAAGATCATTTGGATCCTGGGTTTGTCTTCCAGGGTGTTGGCTACTCCTACCAAACTGCAAATTTGATGAGTTCCCCTTCAATTCCCTCATCTAAGACATTTATGAAGATATTGAACAGTACTGGGCCTAAGACGGAACCTTATGGTACCCCACTGCTTACTTCTCTCCGTGTGGATGTAGTGCCGTTGAGGTCTACTCGTTGAGTACAGTTTGCCAGCCAGCTACAGATCTATCTGTTGGTGATGTTGTCTATTCCACCTTTTTCTAGATTACCAAGGAGTAGGTTATGGCTTACCTTACCAAATGCCTTACTGACGTTTAAGTATACTACATCTACAGTATTTTGCTGGTCTATTAGTTTAGTCACTTTATTGAAGAATGAAATAAGATTGGTTTGGCATGATTTGTTTCTGACAAACCCGTGCTGGCTACTAGTTATAACTTTGTTTCCTTCTAGTTGTTTACAGATCTGTTTTATGATTATCTTTTCCCAGGTATTGATGTTAAACTGATTAGTCTGTAGTTTCCTGGGTCTGTTTTTTTTCCTTTCTTGAAGATGGGGACCACATCAGCTCTTTTCCAATCCTCAGGTACTTCCCTGGACTTCCAGGACTTTTGAAAGATATGGTGCAATGGTTCTGAGATAACATCTCCCATCTCCTTCAGAACTCTGAGATTTTAGAGTTAGTTTTTCCTTGCCTTCACCAAGCCATGTATTCAATAAAGAATAAGCTTTTCAGAGATGAAAATAATCCTGGACTTTTATTTGGATACTTGAGCTGGAGATTGACATTTAGATTACAGACCATAACAAACACTAAAAGAAAACTATGTAGGTGCCATTGCCCATGAGAAGAGCTTCCCTAAGCTGCTCCATTGGGTACAAAATGATGTAAACTCTTTAGTGAACATGCAAGGCATAGTTGTGCATAATTACAGCTTTTCCCTCTTGATGATTAGCCTTTATTTCCTTCTGTAATATCTACATATGCACAAACTTAGCAAATAGAAATTTATCAGTAGGGCCCATGCACACATTGCAGTCTCTTCCCATCATTATTCAAGATCCAGGGAAATGTCCAATCATCCTAATTCTCTCTCTCAAAAACAAAAATCTTGATCTTATTTTTAAAATATGGCAGCAATACATACTCTAATAAATAAAAAGTAGAGCTCATTATAATAACACATCCAAACACACAATAACAAATTTAATTTAAAAGTCCCAAACTGCATCATTTTTACTATTCATGTTTTGATCTTCATGTTAACAGTGGGACAGTGAGCCAACTGCTTTACTGTCAATCAGTCCTCAGTATAAAGGGTTAAGCAAAACCGAGTTTAACTGAAACCATTTCCATTGGTTTCCCAACCTATTCAGGAATTGGCATCAATAAAATCCATTCCTGTCTGTAGATTTTGGTATTAAAAACACCAAGAGGGAGCCTCCAACAAATCCTAGGCGCCTGGAGAGATATCTGCTGTACAACTAGATTTTATTGTTCCACTTCAGGTTCATCTTATTTATATCATAAAATAATTTGGAGGGAGTCTCGTTAGGATAATCTCCTTTCTCCTCAGTAAACAATACCAGTTGACCAAGGACAGTTAATGTAAACCCCAGGAGATCTCATCTATTTGAGGTTAACTCATACTTTTTTATATATAAAGATTTCATTGGTTTTCTTTTGCATACATATGTTAATTTTTCCAATCAACGGGTTGTCTGGGGTTAGCTATGCTAATACATATTCGATTCCTAATCCTTCATTCTTTCCTCTAACCAACAATAAAATAAATCCCAAATTTGGTAGTAGTCTGTGTCTTCTTTATCTTTCAGTCTCATAGTTAATCTGTCCATCTCTGCACGTTCCAATATTTTTCTGATTATTTCTTCTTCTGATGGCAATCCTTCATTCTTCCAGTATTGTGCGAAGATTATTCTCGCTGCTGTAGTGATGTGTAAAATTAAATATAAAGTCTGCTTATTAATCTTTTCAGGCATTATACCTAGTAAAAAAAGTTCAGGTTTAAAATTCTCATCTTCACCTAATATTTTTTCTAACCACATACGTATCTTTTTCCAATAAGCCTTAGCTTTGCCACATGTCCACCAGATGTGGTAGTACGTGCCTGCATTGTGTTTACATTTCCAGCATCTATCTGACATATTTTTAAACATTTTTGCTAATCTTGTTGGTGGCAAGTGCCATCTATAAAACGTTTTATACAAGTTTTCTTTATATGAAGTTGACATTGTTAATTTGTAGTTTCTCTCCCATAGCATTTGCCACTTTTCTAGTTCTATATTATAGCCAAAGTTTTTCACCCATCTTATCATTGTTTCTTTAACTTGTTCGCTTTCCGTTTCCAAAATTAACAAAAAATTGTACATTTTCTTAATTAATTTCTCATTTGAAGTTAATAAAATCTTATCAAACACAGTTTGATCTTTATAAAATCCATACATTTTCACATCTTTTTCATATCTATTTTGTATCTGTAAATGTGCCCACCACGACAGGTTGATCCCCTGATTTTCCCGTTCTTGATTAGATTTTAAATTCCCATCAATATTTAGAATATCTCTATATGCCCATATTTTTTCAAAGTCTGCCAAGTTCGGATGTACAACTGCCTCCATCGTTGATAACCACCCTGGAATTTTTAGGTATATTTTAGCTTTAATTTTTTCCCATATTGTTAACAAAGCATTTCTTATAAAGTGACTTTGAAAATACTTATGAGTTCTATTTTTCCCATACCATAAAAAAGCATGCCACCCCAACTGTAAATCATGTCCCTCTAAATAGAACAACCTTTTGTTTCTAAGTATTATCCATTCTTTCGCTCATGTTAAAACAGATGCCTGATAATACAATGCCCATTCCAGCAGCCCAAATCCTCCATTTTCCTTAGCATCTTGTAGTATTTTCATCTTAATTCTAGCTTTCTTCCCCTGCCAAATAAAGTTCAAAATTAATGAGTTTAAATCTTGAAAAAAAATTCTCAAGTTTTATTGGAATTGTTTGAAATAAAAATAGAATCTTCGGTAGTACATTCATTTTTACTGTAGCAATTCTTCCTAATATTGACAACTGCAGATTTTTCCATCTTTCCAAGTCTAGCTTTATTTGTTTCAATAGTTTTGTATAGTTGTCTTCTTTTACTGACGAACATCTGGCCAAAAGATGTATACCTAAGTAACCTCTGTTTTCTCTAGCATTTGCCTTTTCTGTTTATCTGTGAAATTCTTAACTATTACCTTAGTTTTTTCTTTATTTATTTTTAATCCCGCCATTTCTCCATAGCTTAGGGATCATCTCTAAAGGTTCTTCCAAAATAAATACTAGATCATCAGCAAATGCTTGTAACTTACATGTTTCGTCTTTTATCTTCAATCCTTTGATTTCTGTGTCCTGTCTAATCCTTCTATTTAAAACTTCCAAAGTAAAAATAAATAATAATGGAGATAGTGGACACCCTTGCCTCATGAGGTTATCTCATACTTGTCATCCTCCTGATACAAAACTTACGTAGTATATATTTTAATAAGTCTGGGTTCTCTCAGATTTATATCCTCCTCATTTATAATATGCTGTAATATACTATATAAAATATAGATCTGTTGTATCATGGTTCTGTTATGAAACTTTTAAAAAAAGTTTTCCTTCTTGTTTTTTTTTTAGTTCCTGTGTTGAATGTCTTGCTTTTGGGAGTGGTCCATTTCAGAAGAATTGCTCTGATAGTTGTTCAAATATTACTGTTGAAAGTAATGTACAACCAAAAAGTAAAGAATGCAGGGAAAAGGATTCAGAGAATTGCTGGATCTCTTACACAATGTTTCAGACTGATGGAGAAGAGCACTATTCTATTACAGTCAAGCCTGACAAAGGTATGCTTTTAGTGCCACATCACCAAAACTAACATCTGTTCTCCATTGTAATATCTTTTGACTAGAAATGGCACGAGTGCTGTGTAATTGCTGGACACAACCAATAACGTAAGCAGATCTTGGCCTTCACTGTGTAAGTGATGGGAAGAGAGGCAACTTGTATTTTGAGAGGACCTCATGAGGATCTTTCTTCCTTGTGATGGAAGACACTATAGCCGTGGTGGCAAACCTATGGCACTTATGCCACAGGCGGCACACAGAGCCATCCCTGTGGGCACATGCACCATTGCCACAGACAGAGGGACGCAGAGCTGGGCTGCTCCCCTCCCCCTCTCCATGCATGCAAGAGCTGGGCGGGGTGAGGAAACCTATAAAAGGGGCAATTTTGGTGGGAGAGTGAGTGAGCGGCCTTTGGAAGTGACCAGTGGTGGGTTTCAAATCATTTAACAACCAATTCTCTGCCTCGCCTTCCCTCTGTCTTGGTCGGGCAAAGGGTGGGCCAGATCCCACCTTCCTCCGCTGCCGCCACCCCCACCAGCGTGAGGATGGTGGGCACAGCTTCGCTTCCGGATCTGCTGCCTGACACCATCGGTCAGTCAATCATGCAGGAAAGCAAGAGGAGGTGGAGGGGCAGCCATGGGTCTGGAGCCACCTCGGCTGCTTGCTGGCAGCCCGACGAGGCAGCGGATTTCGTGCACCAGCTGCCCCTCCTGCTTCCCTGCATGGTTGACCAGTCAGAGCAGCAGCAGAGGCCACCCCCATCAGAGCTGTTGAGTGGATGGGTCCAGACCAGGCAAGGGCTTCCTTCCAGCCAGTCCAAGACTGTCTCTGCCTGCGCCGATGGGGCTCTGTGGCCAGTTCGCCATTATGTAGGATAGCCAGCATGCTGTGGCTGCTGACAGACACTGTTGGCCCCCATGCGCTTGCTGGCCTCTGTGTGCGAGGGCCAATGGTGTCAGGCAGCAGATCTGGAAGCAAAGCTGTGCCCACCATCCTCGCGCTGGTGGGGGTGGCAGCAGCAGGGGAAGGCAGGATCTGGCATGTGCCCACTCTTTGCCGCTGCTGCCCCACATCATCCCGCATGTACTTCTGGGCCTTGCATGCAGGATGATGTGGGTGGCAGTGGAGAGGAATGGGCATGCGCCACAGCTCACCTTCTCCCACCACTGCCTCCATAAACACGAGTATGGGCAGCACAGCTTTGCTTCCAGATCTGCTGCTGGCTGGGCTTAACAATGCAGGGATCACTGCCGCCGCCTCCTGCTTCCCTGTGTGGTTGGCTGGTCAAGAGGCTCAGAGCAGCAGGAGGAGCAGTAGCCCCTGCCTGTCAGAGCCACCATGTAGACATGGCCCACACCAGGTGAGGGCTCCTTTCTGGATGTCCTGGGGCCATCTCCGCCCACGCCAATGGGGCTGCCATGATGCAGGACAGCCAGCATGCTGTGGCTGCTGATAGACACCGTTGGCTCCCATGCACTCGCTGGCCTCTGTGTGTGAAGGCTGATGGTATCAGGCAGCAGCTGCTCTGGCCCCTGCCTTGCCTTGCCTTGCCCCGTGGCAATTGGCACACTCAACCTGCCTCACCTTGCCTTACCCCACAGGACGAGCCTTTGGCCCACCGCCCCACCTGCCAGATACCCCCTTGATCTCCCCCAATCCTGCCCAGCCCCCACAGGCGTCCACACCCACCGTAGCACACTCACCCAGTCGGCTGTGACTACCTCAGCCACCCCCATCCAGTCAGCCACACCTACCCGGCACCTGGCGATAAATAAATGGGTTTTGAGTTGTAATTTGGGCACTTGGCCTCTAAAAGGTTCGCCATCACTGCCCTATAGTAACTAGTGAGTCAGAATTAGTTAGGTGGTCTCCCAGATGGAATAGCAAGCCACTGACAGAATATGTGGCCTTTAAAGAGTTTGTATAAATCTCATATGGAGATTCAGGATCTGTTATTTAAGTAGGGGGAAATGTATCATGTATATTTTTGAATTCTGCCTCATCTTTATTCATTTAAGAAACGTTTACCACTAGTATATAATATATGCAAACGGATATAGTCTTATAAATACATTGTATTTCTGTTGCTCAGTCAAGCACACATTATTAATCATTTTTCTTTCTTTTCTTAGAATGCCCCCAACCCCCTAACATTGCAGCCATAGTGGGGGGCACTATAGCTGGAGTGGCTCTTATTGGACTCCTTCTCCTCCTGGCTTGGCGGCTAGTGGCAGAGTTGATTGATCGCAAAGAATATCACAGATTTGAGAAGGAGAAATCCAAGGCCAAATGGAATGAGGTAAGATGTTTAACCCTGGTGGATAGATATAAAGAAAGGAGAAGACCTACTTGTGTCTCTTTCTTCCTGTGTTTGAGTTATTAATCAAAGTAATTGATTCAGCTTGGTGTACTTGGGCAGAACTTTGGTGTAGATTCTATCATCTTCCTGCTGTTTAGTTTGGGTTTTATCGAGCTATTAAATGAGTGTATGATTACCCATCTGAATCCAGATCTGATCTTGAAATGTTAGGTTTTATTAGCAGCTAAAAGTTTCTGATGTTTTATTGACAGGCTGACAATCCTCTTTTCAAGAGTGCTACTACCACTGTTGTGAACCCCAGATTTAATGGCCAATGAAATGAAACTTCAGCAACAGTGCAAAGCACAAAGAAACTCTTCAGCAGAAAAACAGAAGATGAATCCATTTGCTTTTCTTAAATCAACTGTTATTGCTGTATAATATCAGTTATTTTTGAGAAAACCATTCTGCGGGTTTTGCAACATGCTTCTTTATATATATATGTGATTTTTATTGACTTTTTCATACATTCAATAGTATTTGTTCAACAAATATTCTGGCTGAATTTACATTCACTAATACAAATTTAATTCCTAATCCTTTATTCTTTCCTCTAGCCCTTGATAAAATAAGTCCCAAGTTTGATAATATTCCGTTTCTTCTTTTTCTTTCAGTCACATAGTCAGTCTATCCATCTCTGCATATTCTAGTATTTTTTTTAATTATTTCTTCATCTGATGTTATTTCTTCCTTCTTTCAATACTGCGCGAATATAATTCTTGCCACTGTTGTTACATGCAGCATGCTTCTATTCCAACATTTTTAAAAAAATACGTAAGCATTAGAGAACTTTACTGCATATCTCAGATGAAGCACTCAGAGTAGCTAGGCCTCTTCCATTCATCACCCATACAAACTGTAGGGAATTAGGGGTTTGGTTTATAAAATTATCTAAACCTCTACTATACATAGTATGTAAATAAAATGCCAACTGCCACTCAGGGAGTTCTTTTAATTAACAATTTTGTTGTTTATAGGGCCTGTTTTAAGGTGAGGTGAGGTGTTTACAAGGCCTATTTTAAGGTGAGTGAGAAGGTGATGAGCTATTACCACAAAGTGGTAATTTTCCCAAGAAGGTACTATGTTGCATTCAAAACAATGCTGATTTGTTCATCTCATGAGCAATTGCAATCCCACCCATCTCTCAGAAAGCATCAATGTTTTGCACTGTGAACCTTTTTTTTCTGGGACTCCAAAAGAGTGTATCAGAGCAGAGCAGCCAATCAGCATTCAGTCCCTTTGCTTTAAATAGCTGAGTTTACTACCTCAGAGAGCTTCCAGCACTTTACACATTTCCAGCATTGCTGTTTCCATACATATCACCTATATGTACCTATGTGTATATTTGTCTCATAGTTTACAAAACCAGGTGAGTAATCAGAGAACTTTGGGGGTTTTTTGAGGGGGGAGGAATATTTGACTACTATGGAATAGACTCAGATGGCTTTGACTCATCATGATTGTCGATCAGCAAGCTTTATGAGGTCTTGTCCAGTAAACACAAAATTTTATTCCTGCTTGCAGGAGACAGTTCTGAAGCTATTACCAAATGAATCAAAAAATCTATAAAAACTTTTATTCACCTGTTGCTGTATTAGGGATCTGATGATCTGATAACTTTGAGGAGCAGATTATGAGCTGAGGATGAGCTTCTTTGTGCCAGATGTCCTGTCTGGATATCAATCGACATTCAATCCCCAGTAATAGGATTGTTTTAAACCAGCGGTTCTCAACCTGTGGGTCCCAACCCTATTTGGGGTTGAATGACCATTTCATGGGGTCGCCAAACAATGCAGTCCACCATTTTTTCCCCTTTTCCTTAGCTGTGCTACTCGCTCTTATTCTATTAGCTTTTGAAAGCCAATAGAATAGGCTCTATTCAAGAGACTCTATTCTATTGGCATTCTATTAGAATCTATTGGCTTTCAAAAGCCAATAGAATAGACTCTCTTGAATAGAGTCTAATTCTATTGGCTTTCAAAAGCAAATAGGAATTGTCCAGGCTGTCTCTGCCTTGCTGAGCCCGCGAAAAGTCCCAGTCTACAAATGGTGCTGCAAGTTGTCTGCAGCTAAGGTGAGCTTTCTGGACGTTTCCACCCCTCCCTGCTGAACAACTACTAAATGTAAGTAAAAGAGGGCCAAGGGTGGGAGGTGGGAGGCCGGCGGGCGCAGAGAGGGTTGCTGGCATGCGTGGTGGCCCAGCTGGTAGTTGCCCTGCACCCTCGCTGCCACGTGCCATGGCTGCCCAGGAGCACCTGGGCCTGCCTGCCACCACACCGAACATGCGGTGGCCAAGGTAAGGCTAGTGGGGCAGCAGCGGGTGCAGGGAGGGTTGCTGGCACGCGTGGGGCCCGGCGGGTGCCTTACCTCCCTTGGGCTGGGCCAACTGGTCACCCAGCCGGTGGTCGCCCTGCACCCTCGCTGCCACATGCCATGGCTGCCCAGGAGCGCTTGGGCCTGCCTGCTACCGCACCAAACATGCGGTGGCCAAGGTAAGGCTAGTGGGGCAGCTGCGGGTGAGGGAGGGTTGCTGGCACGCGTGGGGCCTGGCGGGTGCCTTACCTCCCTTGGGCTCGGCCAGCTGGTGGCCCAGCCGGTGGTCGCCCTGCGCCCTCGCTGCCGCATGCCATGGCCACCCAGGAGCACCTGGGCCTGCCTGCCACCGCACCGAATGTGCGGTGGACAAGGTAAGGCTAGCGGGGCAGCGGCGGGCAGAGGGAGGGTTGCTGGCTCGTGTGGGGCCCGGCAGGTGGCTTACCTCCCTTGGGCTAGGCCAGCTGGTGGCCCAGCCGGTAGTCGGCCTGCGCCGTCACTGTCGCTTGCCAGCTACACCTCGGACGGTGCAGGGGGTGGCACCATGCATGCGCGGTGCTCCCGGGCCGAGGCGGTTGCTGGGTGACGGCCTGCGTGCACCCTCGGCCTGCCCAGCGTGCACTCCAGCCGCAGGAGAGGAGGTGGAGCGTGCGCGCCTCCTCCTGCCCCGCCCGCAGGGAAATACAGGTAGTCCTCGACTTACAACCACATGGTCGGGAGTCGCGGCATTAGAAAGGTTGAGAACCACTATTTTAAACAATAACATGTTAGTAAAAATGTACTTGCATTTCTCTTCTACTGTTCAGAAGGCCTAGTTAGTTCAGAAAAAATGAGCTCTTCCAAAAGTATTACCCAGTGACTGATAAGACTAAATGGTAACTTCCATTTTCCAATTTAAATTTAACAACTATATCAGCTGCTGAATATAGGAAATCCTTTTACTGAAAAAATACTGACAGGTCCACAAATTATAATCAGATAGCTTTTCTTTGGACTGTTGATCAGCTCTATATTCAAAAAACATTTATGGCTTATGATAAATCAGGCAAACCATATTACGACTGATGAAATGCATGAACAGAGTTCTGTCCTGGTTTACCCATTGCATTAAATCATTTTTATGAGTTTAGTTGAATTGGTTAAGTCCACAAGATATAAGCAAATGCAAAGCCAAGCATTATATGTGACACGGAAGCAGATGAGATATTTGAAAGCTGTGTATTTCATTTTTGTTCTATTGATATATGTAAATCCCAATTTTTTTGGCACTGTAGACATCAATTACTGTCATGATAGTACATGATAGGCATGATAGGACATTACATGAGAAATATAGTATTGTCGCAACTGATTTTAACAAATTTTAATTAATAGAATGGTATGTCAATTAAACTAATTGGTGGGTAAAAAAAAATCCCTGTAGTTCTACAGGGAAAAGATTGGTTTGAAATCATGCATAGGGCCTTCCCTACAATGAAGAACAAGTCAATGCAAAGAATCAGGCAAGCGGTATGCAACCAAGAGGAAACAAGATACTGTGTTTCCCCAAAAATAGGACCCAGTGATATTTTTATTTTTTTTCCTCCAAAAGAGGCACCAGGTCTTATTTTCAAGGGATGTCTTTTCCATGGTCTCACCTCATGGCGGTGGCACCAACAGCCCTGCCCAGCTGGCCTACATCTGCGGCCACTCGCTGCCGCTCATGTATGTCACTCCTGGCTTCCATTTCGCTGTCAGGGGCCTTCAGGAAATGCCTCCAGGGGGTGCTGCACGCATCAATCTGGAGCCCAGTTCTCGACTGCAGAGGCCTTTTCTGAAGGCTTCTGAAGGCAAAATGGAGGCTGAGAGGTGCCATGTGTGTCAATCCACTGCTCCATTCTTAGCTGCAGAGGCATTTCCTGAAGACCTCTGATGGCAAAATAGAGGTTGGGGGTGATGCGCGTGTGTGAGCAGTGGCAAGTAGCTGCAGAAGAAGTGGGCTGGTGAGGCAGGTGTCAGGGCATGGGAGGCTTGGTTGCAACGGTAGGTGAGTGTGGGGCATGTGGGGTAGCTCCACCCCCCACATCCACCCTAGCTTGATTTTTAGATGTGCGCCTCACCCCAAAACTAGGGCTTATTTTTTGAGTAGAGCTTATATTAGGCCCACTCCCCAAAATCAAGCTAGGGCTTATTTTCAGGGTAGGTCTTATTTTCGGGAAAAGTAATTGCAGTCACTTTAACATTGTATATTAAAGTTTGTCAGTTCTGAAGATGCTAGGCATGACCATCCGCAGGGAGGGAAAATGGCAAAACAACAATTGCAATCTAAACTCTCCCCTTTTGTATTAGCACTGCAACATATCATATGTATATGTACATAAGGAGCAGAACTTGTATTGTGATGTCACAATGTGCATAGCATTGTTTTCACAAAAGTTTGGCTCAGTGTGGATTCTAGGTACTTAATTAGATACTTGATAAATGTTGTTAATGCATCATTGAAATCAATAAAACTTTTACTGATTTAAAGCCATTTCAATTTGCAACTATATAGCCATGCTTGCAATTCTCAGCTATACACTGATACCAATAAAGCTCATGTACATTTCAATTTGTGCTCAAGCATGTCTTATCTGTTGAAGTAGTCTGAGATGTGAAAGGGGTTATTTGGTATCAATTTTATTTTCCCTTAAATATGAATAGATAGAATCTTCATAAGTTTAAAGACAAGCAAGAGAACTGGAATTATATAGTATATGAGATTCAGGTATGTAATCAGAATTACAACAGATTCAAATGTACTTCCAATTTCCCTAGTACATGCTCTCTGCTCCACTATTCTTTACACCTTTGGCCCCCGCCTCATCTGGTGGCGCAGTGGTTAGAATGCAGTACTGCAGGCTCCTTATGCTGACTCCTGACTGCCAGCAGTTTGGCAGTTCAAGTCTCACCAGCTGAAGATTGACTCAGACTTCCATCCTTCTGAGGTGGGTAAAATGAGGACCCAGATTGTTAGGGGAAATATGCTGACTCTGCAAACCACTTAGAGAAGGCTATAAAGCACTGTGAAGCAGTATATAAGTCTAAGGGCTATTGTTATTGCTATCTTCTCAGCCTATTCCTGCTGGCCCTTTCACCAACCAATCGTCATAGTATCTTCTTACCAGCTTGGCTGCCTCCCATCTTTCTAGGATTGTCTCACTGACCTGCTCATTTCCTAATCTTCCCAGTGCCTTCCCACTGGCCCACTGTCTTCTGATCTTCTGAGAATTTGCCTGCCCATCCTTTAATCTTCTTGGAGTACTTCTGTGAACTTGAAAACTCTCCTGATCTTGATGTTTTTCCACCATATTTTCCAGGCATTTGCCTGCTAACCTGATGACCTTACCATCCTCCCAGAACTATCTACCTTAAAATCCATTGAGCATGACATTGAGATTTAGAACTTTGAATGGAACTAATATCATGCAAACTGAATTTCACTGTTGCCACAAAACATGAAAGAGCCTCCAGATCATATTTTGAGGATGCACAGGGAGATAATTTCAGATCATATTTTGAGGATGCACAGGGAGATAATTACAGAGGAGAGAATCACTGCCTTCCTATTGCAATTACTGAAACTGTTCTAGCAGAAATGGATAACTGGATTCCAACCAACAACTTTATTTTTTTTCACCATACTAGAACTTGAGAAGAATGGAATACCGGCATTATATGATTTTTTTAAAAAAAAAAATGCAGAAACAATTGAATTAGATAACTCCAAGCATAGCCATAATGATTATCTTATGGGAGGGAAGCGAAGATGAGGTGGTAAAACAATCTTAGAAAAGCCCCAGCATCTTCTGTCAAAATGTGTTGTTGATGTAGCTGGGATAGTGCAGATTTCTTGCAAATGAAACACAGGACAGCAATGAGTTATGTGGGCTGTACACTGCAGTTGCAAAACAAACAGAAAAGCAATGATAAAATACAAGACATATCCATATCTAGAAGTGGCTTATGACATGTTCACTGATAACAAAATAGCAGTGAATTTCTCAATATGAACAGGATTTTAGGTCTTGAATCCAGCATTCATTACATCATATCAAATATACATCAAATATAAATTGGAGGACCAATTTCTAAAACAGAGATTAATTATTCAGAAAGCATTCATTTCTATCTCAAATGATTTCTGAAAATTTTCCACCATTTTTAAGTATGTCTCCACAAATCCTCTATATGAAAGTCAATTTTGGGTAACTTTCCATTTCTGAACAGATAGATGCCACTCACTGCTGCTGCTACCATGCTGAGGAAGAGGCCTCTATTGATCACCTTTAACAACAATGAAAAATCTGCATTTTAGTAAAATATCTGAAAAATATTCTAGGGGGAAACAATTGCAATTATTTTGCCAACATTTTTAGGAAGAATTAAATCTGGCTATTTAAGGCTATTGGTCTGAACATCAATGTCAGTCGCAAAGAAATTTAGGTTTGAGTGCAACAAGCATTTCTTTCAACATTTTTATTTCTCTGTTATATCACTCCCTATTTTCATCTGTCTCTTTATTTCACTATCAAACTGGGCAAGATATGGCACAAGGGAATCTGCTGATGATGAGCATGTAACAGTGATGGCAAACCTTTTAGAGACTGAGTGCCCAAACTGCAACCCAAAACCCACTTATGCATCGTCAAGTGACGGGTGGGTGTGGCCCATTGGCTGGGTGGGCCCATTGGGTGGGTGTGGCTGCAGTGGTAATGGCAGACTGGGTGGGACTAAAAAGTTCAATCAATCAATTCCAACTTTGCAAGATTTTTTTTCCCCGCAAGAAGTTGAAATTGATTGGTTGAACCTTTTTTTTTTTTTTTTTGCACACGGCGGCGGAGGCCTAAAGCAAAAAGGTTTTATAAAACCCAGCTGAAGGCCTAGAACTGGGACGATGGCATGCATGTCCACAGAGAGGGCTCTGAGTGCCACCTCTGGCACCCGTGTCATATAACCACTGGCATATAACCATCCTAGTTCACTAATCCTCCCAGAACTGTTTGGTGAAATTGGGCTTACATTCTGGGAAGGAAGAGAGTCCTGGAAGAAGAGATTTCAGGGCAGCCCCAGTAATACTCTGCTGATCCTGAACAGCCTCAGGACTCATAAATTCTAACTAGGGGATTACATGTCGTGGTTGTCCTGGAGTGTCTCTGGTCATGCTCTCTATCAACCCCAAGCCCTGACGAGCAAAGAGGGGATGAGTCAGGTAAGGCCTTCAGGTCTACTGGAAAACTATTTGCACCCTTACAGTATGTATAATTTAATGGTACTAGACATTCTAAATTTTCATCTTTATTGAATCTAAAGTGAAGATAGGTATACTTCTCAACTTCCTCCTATGCCTTTGCCACAACAATAAATGCTTGGTGTAGCTACTTTCGGCAAATGCATCTGAATGTAGTTTACCTTATTCTGCCATTTCCATCTTTGCACAGCTTCGTGGTATCGGATTCTGGAGAATGTCACCTGAAGGAGGTTACAAAATCAATACAGGAACCTGGGCGTATCCCAGAAGGAAAAAGTGGACAACTGTGAGAAAAAATACATGAAAACTCCTGTAGAATTAAGTGTTAGAGTCTCACCATAGTATACAGAGGAATGATGATAGAAGGCAGGACTACATGGAGCCAATTGTCTATATGCTTTCGGAAAATGAACCACCTTGAATTCACACGTTCCCGCATCTGAAATTAGAAAGAGATAGATTTGCATTTGGTGGCATTGCCCATAATGCAATGGCCAATCAAATATTGTTTAACTTACCTCTATATAATTATACATGGCTAAATCTGAAATTGCATGATCGTCAGGTACCCTTAGCTTTGAGAACATTGGAAGGCAAACACCTAAGGAAAAAGCAGGGACAACACAGGCTTTCTGCAGAGAGAAATTTGATATGCCATAGAAGATGCAAATAGAAGTTGCAACTAGTTGCCATTCCCTGATAAGCATTTGTTGTAATTTACAGCTTTATGAGCACACAATGCCTAAAGATACAGTCTGTGAAGTGTTTATAGTAATATTCTATTTCAGTCCTTGTCAACTCATGTTCTGCAAGAGATTGCAACCCCCCAAAAATTAACATTTTAAAAAAAACTTCACATGTCACATAATACCAGTTCTTACAGTGTTGAGAATTTTTATAAACCATGACTCAGCTGCTGGCCTGCCACTTTCCTGTTGCTGATTAATAATATCTACTATATAATTTTGTAACTGTTACTTTATATTTGAGCCTTATCATGTTACTCACTAAGAAACATTTTTCTAAAGTCATGTATAAAGCTGTCTATATTAATAAATTTCTCAGGCTTGTTCTATACAAGGTCACTTTCTAAAAACCTAAACCTGCACACAGACAACTAAACTAGTTGTGTCCTTGTGCTGAACATAAGGTTGACGTATTTTCTCTGTTTCAGTTATTCTGGGGATGTCGGTGCTATTCAGCCTATTCTTACCCTACTGCAGTGGTTCTCAACCTGTGGGTCGGGACCCCATTTGGGTCGAACGACCATTTCACGGGGGTCGCCAAACAATGCAGTCCGCCATTTTTCCCCTTTTCCTTAGCTGTGCTACTCCCTTTTATTCTATTGGCTTTCGAAAGCCAATAGAATAGACTCTCTTGAATAGAGAGGAATTGTTCAGGCTGTCTCTGCCCTGCTGAGCCCGCCAAAAGTCCCATTCTGCAAACGGTGCTGCACCAGTTGAGTAGTCCTCGACTTACGACCGGTTGGGGGTCGCGGCATTAAAAAGGTTGAGAACCACTGCCCTACTGTATGTCCCCCTGGCTGTTCCATTTTTTGCCATCTGAAGCTACAGCATTGCCATTTCTTTGCAGTGTTTATCAGGTGCAGCTTCCTCCCAATTCACCCTGTACCCGACTTTTACAGCTTTTCCAACTGACACATCCCAGGCATAGAGGAAGGGCGCAGGCTGAAACAGGAGTTGGTCAGAATTGCTCCTTTTCATTTTTCCTCTATGCCTGCAATTTGCCAGCCAGAGAATATTTGAGTGAGGGCTTCCCACTCTTTCAAACCCTACCAAGCAGTGCAATTATATTTTCCACCAATAGGTGTCACTCAGTGAAAGAGAAATAAAGGCAGGGAAATCCACCAAAGGCTTTCTTAATTTGACTACATTACACTCACTCACTCACTCACTCACACGAGCTAGTCTCTATTACTGTACTGAAGCAGAAGAAGGAGGCTGAACTAAGAAGAAGCAAGGGGTTGGACTAGAAGACCTCCAAGGTCCCTTTCCAACCCTATTATTCTATGTTCTAAGTCTCAGCTACTAGAGCAGTGCAATTGATGCCGGCCTCCATTCCTGCTGACTGAAAAACTAGAGGATAATAAGTTAATGCAGCTTGAAGAACTCATGAGCTTTATTCAGCATCTCCTTTTATAGAAAACAGTAACACTAGGGTAGGATAGGATCATTAATTTATTTGAACTAACTACAAAACAAAGCAAAATGCAAATATCTAATGTTTGATTTTGTCTGTAAAACAGTCTTGAAGACGTTCCAGATTATAAATACAAACAAAATAATGAGATAAAATGAAATGCAATATATCAAATTATCAGAACACGCTCACAAGATTAATAAAAAAAAAGGTTTGGTCTAGTTTAAAAATAGTTTGCTAAAACAGGAATTTCTGCAGGCAGAGAGACCATATTTGTCATTGTCTTTAAAAAGTACATCAGGAGGGGTACTTTGAGGTCCAAAACTGAGATGTCATGGGGTTAGCATAAAAAGATGGAGACAATTTATACACATTATTTGCTTTAGACTGTTTAATGCCTATTTGCACATGTATGTTACAGAGTAATTCACAATGTTACTCACAGTGCACATGCTTTTAAAAATTCTCATGATAAGTAGCCATTTTATGATGTGCTTCATGTTACAATTCCTTCTTATTGTTGCTGATGGGGAAAACAAATGTTTTTTTCCCCACAGAATAATCATTCAAACCTGTAGACTGATACCTGGGCCATATCAGTTAAGTTTTCTCATAAAGATTCTTTCCATTTCAGGAGCAATCACAGTCCTTATCTCCCATTCTGCTACACACATACATGCAGGATCTATCAGACTTTACAATCTGCCCAGCCCGCAGAGGTTGGGGGAGTTGGTTCTTATGCAGTTTTGCAGAAGGAGAAGACACACCCTAAATATGTGGATGGAGTAGATGATAGAGATACTGAACTCATTTCACATCAAGCCATTTTTAATTTGCATTTGGTAGAATATTGCTTTTTCTATCTGATAGCCACTTACAGAGGTCATTTTGAAACTGGTCCATCAGCTCATCAAAGACTAGACAGTCTTCAAATCCCTGGGGGGGGGGGGAAATGCAAGGAAAGTAAGAATCTAATTTTAAGTAGTAAATTCTAATACCACGGTTATTGTGTTGGGCAAAACATAGAAAGTGCCAAATTATTTTTACAGTTTTCAAATGATAAGGTTGTCACACAGGCCAGGTAACACCTCCTCAAACCTTGATGCTTTGTTCTTTCTAGCCAGTTGGAGCAATTAAATATTCAATTACAAATATTTAACTCAGAATTAAGAAAGCAGAAGTGATTACCTCAACTTTAATAAATCAGAAATGGAAGGCATTTGAGGAAAGGGCTCAAAGGCTACTCCCAGATCTCAGAGGGGCCAGGGGCCAGGAAGTTTGGCCTGTTAAGTATCACTATTGTTCACAATGATATCTCAAGAAGTTTCTCTATTGTTAGATTGATTTAAAAACAGATAAATAAATAAGAACATCTCTAAATCTTGTTTTTACTGTTTTTAATGAATTTACTGTTTTATTGTTCTTAATCATTCTAGGCACAGCTCATATCTATTTAATTCTTTGTAATCTTTTGTCCCACCCACCTCTATGATTGCTCTTTGTCTTCCAGGCTTGCTAGCTTTCTTACTCCAAGACCTAGTTGTTCTTTACCAGGATTGCCACAAGATTAATTCCCAGAATCATGTTTATCATACCTGTCTAACCCTGACTCCTTTCTACTGTGATAACTATTTCCACAACTTGGCAGAACACTAGAATTTTTACTTCAATCATCTTCCTGCTTCATTTACCTAGAAAGACCCATTTGCTGCATCAAACCGGACTTTGAGCTTATTTTCTGCTGTGATAAAACAAGTTTAAAATCTTGTTCTATATCTGGTGTGGTTTTGACAGCTAGTTTCCTTACTACAGTGTGGGAACTACAGACAAGCAAGGTAGAAAAATTTCTACGAAACTATTATTACTACAATTCCTAAATATAGTTGTAGTTTTATGCCCTCCTAATAAGTATTAAGCTTCTGATCAGTTCCCTATGATAGTTATCTCTGCTTGTTAAATAAATACTTGAGGGGGGACATGATAGCAGTGTTCCAATATCTCAGGGGCTGCCACAAAGAAGAGGGAGTCAAGCTATTCTCCAAGGACAAGAAGCAACAGATGAAAACTAATCAAGGAGAGAAGCAACCTAGAACTAAGGAGAAACTTCCTGACAGTTAGAACAATTAACCAGTGGAACAACCTGCCTCCAGAAGTGGTGAATGCTCCAAAACTGGAAGTTTTTAAGAAGAGACTGGACAGCCATTTGTCCGAAATGGTATAGGGTTTCCTGCTTGAGCAGGAGGTTGGACTAGATGATCTCCAAGGTCCCTTCCAACTTATTATTATTATGGATCATCGCACAGTCAGCCAGATGTTCAGACTGGATTTGGCATTTTGTCTACCTATCGAGTCCTTACCCAGGACCTGGGATAGGCAGATGTGGATGTTTGATGGTATTACAGATATCGTCGCAGGATGGAAGCAGTTCCTAATAAGGCTGCCTTTTGCAATTGACTAATAGCGAATTTGTCAATGCCAATGGTGTTCAAGTGGTGCTCCAGTTGTTTTGGGATTGCACCCAAGGAGCCTATGACTATTGGTACTACCCTTGCTTGCTTTTGCCACAGTCTTTCTATTTCTATTTGTAGGTCTTTGTATTTTGTTATCTTCTCCAGTTCTTTCTCTTCTATTCTGCTATCTCCAGGCACTGCCACGTCCACTATCCAGACTTTTTTGTCTTTCTTATCGACAATTGTTAAGTCTGGGGTGTTATGTTGCAGGTGCTTGTCTGTTTGAATTCTGAAGTCCCAGAGCAGTTTAATTTTATCATTTTCTATGACTTTCTCTATTTTATGATCCCACCAGTTTTTGCTTACAGGCAAATGATATTTTTTGCAGATCTTCCAATGCACCATTGTTGCTACTTTGTCATGCCGCTGCTTGTAATCAGTCTGTGCAATCTTCTTGCAACAGCTTACCAAGTGGTCCACTGTTTCTTCAGCTTCTTTGCATAGGCGGCACTTACTGTCTGTTGCTGTCTTCTCAATTTTGACTTTGTATGCATTTGTCCTTAAGGCTTGGTCTTGTGCAGCCAGAATTAGTCCCTCGGTCTCTTTCTTCAATTTTCCTGCTCTTAGCCATTGCCAGGTTTTATTATTATCTGCTTTCCCAGCTATTTTTTTCATGTATTGGCCATGTAGTGCTTTGTCTTCCCATGCCTCTATTCTGTTCTTCATTTGGTCTTTCTTGTAGGCCAGTTTGGTCTCTCCAGTAGTAGTAAGCCTTCCTGATATACTAATTTCAGTGCATCTTCATCATTGTTCTTCAGATATTCTTCCAAAGCCATTTTTTCTTCTTCAACCATCTGATGTACTTGTAGCATTCCACGCCCACCTATTTGCCTTGGTAGATAAAGTCTATCAATGTCACTGCGTGGATGAAGGGCATGATTCATTGTCATTATTTTTCTGGTCTGCCTATCCATTGCTTTTAGTTCTGCTTGAGTCCAGTCCACTATTCCAGCTGTGTACCTAATGACTGGGATTGCCCAGGTGTTGATTGCCTTTATGGTATTTCCTCCATTGAGTTTGGATTTTAAGATCTTCTTCACTCTCTTGATGTATTCACCTCTAATCTTTTTCTTGACTTCAGTGTGCTTGATGTTGTCAGCTTGAAGGATACCCAAGTATTTGTAGTACTCTTCCTCATCCAGACTCTTAATGTTATTTTCGTGGGGCATCTTGATTCCTTCAGTTTTCATTATTTTTCCTTGTTTGATAGTAAGTGTGGCACATTTGTCCAAGCCAAACTCCATTACAATATCTTGGCTATATATACGGACAGTGTTGAGCAGCGATTCTATTTCAGATGATGTTTTTCCATACAGCTTCAGATCATCCATATAAAGGAGGTGGGATAGTCTGGCAGATGTTTTTGATGTTTGATAGCCATGTCCTGAGTTATTCAGTATTGTTGACAGAGGAAACAGTGCAATAACAAATAGTAATGGTGATAATGAATCTCCTTGAAATATTCCTCTCTTGATATTAACCTCTCCCAGCCTCTCACCATTGATCTGCAACTGTGTCTTCCATTGTGCCATCGATCTTTGCACAAATTTTCTGATGTTTCTACTGACTCCTGTTATTTCTAGGCACTTTATTATCCAATCATGTGGCAGAGAGTCAAATGCCTTTTTGTAGTCAATCCATGCCACATTCAGGTTGGTCTTCCTTCTCTTGCAGTTTTCCAAGATCATTTTGTCTATTAGGAGTTGATCTTTTGTTCCTCTGCTGTTGGGGCGGTTTCCTTTCTGCTCAGGTGGAAAGAGATGCTGTTTCAGCTAACACCAGTTAGTAATTTGAAAGTTGTTGGTAAGCAGGTAATTGGCCTGTAGTTACCTGGTGTTGCCCCTTTTGCTGGATTTTTCATTATTAGGTAGGTTTTCCCAGTTGTTAGCCACTTTTCAATTTCTCCTCCTTGTAGTATATTGTTGAACTGTTTGGCAATGAGTGGGTGTATAACAGTTAGATGTTTCAACCAAAACCCATGCAGTTCATCTTCACCTGGTGCTGACCAATTTTTGATTTTCTTTGCTCTTTTTTCTACCATTTTTGTTGTTATTACTAGTTCTTTCATTTCAACTTCTGTTTTATTTGCATCCACCTCTTTTAACCAAGCCGCATCCTTGTTGTATTTCTTTGGGTTATCCCATATCTGCTTCCAGAACTGCACTGTTTCTTCCTTGTCAGGTACTGACTGATTCCTTGCAGTTTCTCCATTGATGGATTGGTAGAAACGTTTCTGATTGGATTGAAATTGGAGGTTCTGCCTATAGTTTGCAATTCGAGCTTCATATCTACTGATTTTCCTGGCTATAGCTGTTATTTGTTGCTTTATTATTTCCAGTGCTTCCTTGATCTTCCTTGTTTCTAAGTGGTATTTCTTGATTAGGTATTCTTTGGTCTTCTTGTTCTTCAGCTTCTTTTCTTTCATCTGTTCTAGCTTGCTTGCATGTGATCTTAACTTGCTGATCTTATTTTCTAGTCTAACCTTCCATTTTTCTGGTGCACTGTTTGTTTGTTTTTCTTCTTTGTTGATTTTGCATCCCAGGTATTCTGTTATAACTGCAGCTGTGCTGTACATTAGTTGGTTTGTTTCTTGCAGTGAATTGGTGCTTATACTTGATATTGCAATATTTGCATCTTTTAATGCTTGTGCTAGCTGTTTCTTTGGAACAAGCTTCAATGCAGGTAGCCTTATTCTGTTGTTTTTGTGCTGTTCTAGATGCTCAGTTATTCTTTGTTTCAATTCTTTTATTTCTTTAGTTAGAGGGTTTTGTTCTTCCTGAGGTAGAGGTGCCTGGATTTCCAAATGAGAACAGTTGTATATCTCTGCTGGATTCCTTCACTGCCAACTCCCCCTGGTTTGCCTCTACATTCTGAATTACTTCTGGTAAGGCTTTGATTTCTTTGCCCTGGGTAAACCTTTGCAGTTCGTCCAATTCTGTTTCTGTGAATATTTTATTTCGTGTTATAAATCGGCGTTGATCTGCTAGTCTCTGTTCTGTTATTTCTGATTCTGGATGTTGTTCTTTCCAGAACTGGTGCATTCGTTTTAGATATCCTCTTCTTGTTGGACTTGATCTGTAGTAACAGATCATTATTTCTTTGTTTTCCATCACTGTGTATCTGCGACGGGTAAACACCTTTTCTTCCAGTAGTTCTGCAGCTGCTGGCCCTGGTTGCTCAGCCAACAGTCCTGAGTCCTGTAACCCATTTTTCACCAGATATCCAGGAACTCCAATATCTAGTGCGGACCTTGTTAACCCGGGCGACGTCCGAGCCGGTATGGCATTCTGAAATTTACGTCTCACCATATTTTTTATGGGAGAGACACTCTTTGTCTGACTCCTCTGATGAGACCTGTCCAGTATGGTTGAACCTCTGGCATAGCTCTCATCTTCCTCAGAGTACACAAGCCCCACAACCACGTCAAGGTAGTGCCTCACTGGGGGATTATTATTATTATTATTATTATTATTATTATTATTATTATTATTATTAATTTAAATTTGGTTCTAAAAACAGACTGTACTTGGTATCCTGTATAAAACATACTACTTTAAGTCTCTGCATTTCTCCTTTCTCTGGAACTAGTAATTATATCATTCTTCCTCTGTTTCTTTTCTACTTGTAGAAAGATTACATACTTGTAATCTTCCCTTGAGGTCTAGGTTTTGCATCAGCATCTCAAACTAGCCAGTCCAGAAAGGGAAAAACTGGAGTCTTGGCAGCAGAAGCTACACCAATATTCTACACTCACATCCTGAACTTCCTGCTATATTACTACTCTAGTTCTATCTTTCATTACTTTTTAGTCGCTCCTTCTTCTTCACTCTTCCCATGCTAGAAGTAATATATAATCACCTCCAATATATGCAGTAACTCTTCCTTTTCTAAGCCAAAGCCCATGATACCTTGGTTCAAATTCCCCAAGATAGCCACAAAGTAGACTAAACAACACAACTAGGAATTGAATCCTTCTGTATAATTCAGGAACAATAGTGACTATAAACAGCAGACAGTCATTGAGCAGCTGGAGGCTGATACAGAACTTATCGTCCCTCCTACTCCAAATATAGTGTTCTTTCCCACATCTCCCTCTTTATAATGAAGATTTTGCCTTCCTTTTCTCATGCTCACTTGTTAATAGATGTGGCACGTTTACATTCTCTGCATTCCTGCTCCAAGTCTCTCCTGCCCTAAGAAAAACTTGACACCTCGCGATCCCTTTGCCCCATTGCTTGGCAGCTTTCCTCTTACTCTCACCCCTTTTTTCCTTGTTCTGTGAGCAACTGCAGATGAAATAGGGTACCACTTTTTTTTTAATTGGCTAGCTCCTCCACTCCTTCAGATTAGCAATGAGGACAATTCTGCAATTATCTGAAACTGCTGCATAGGGTGGAAGTTGATAGCCGCAAAGAAGCACGCTTTACCAAGGAAGACAAACAGCAAAATTTCAGTTGCAAGGATTCTTTCACTTACAGCATTCATGCCTTGGCCATAAAAGGGTACAACGGCGTGTGCAGCATCTCCCATTAGCATGCATTGAGAGCCAATGTGATATGATGAGCATTTCACCGACACCATCGCCTGAGCTGGTAGCACAAAGTAATCTTGCATCAGTTCGCACCTGAAATTTCAAAGTGCTGTATCTCTGATTAAATGCTAAATAAACATTACCATTTGATAACTGAATGGAATGTGGATATTTTAAAAGCTGTAAGGAGAGAGGGCAATGAGGTTTGGCATTACTATTTTTTAGATACCCAACAAGTAGCAATGTATAAGGTCAGAACTTCAAAGAAAAATTATATATGTGTGTTTTCTGAGGTTTTTGCGGGTGTTTGTATGTAGGTCTTTGGTTATTTGGGTTTTCTCCCGCGTCAAATTGGAAGTGTCTTGGTGACATTTCGATGAAGTCCCATTCGTCATCTTCAGGCTGGTGTTTTCAGCTTCGTGCTTCTAGGAGCAATCCTAGAATCCTGGTGTTTTCGGCTTCGAGCTCCTAGAAACACGAAGCCGAAAACACCAGCCTGAAGATGACGAATGGGACTTCGTCGAAACGTCGCCAAGACACTTCCAATTTTACGTGGGAGAAAACCCAAAACAACCAAAGACCTACATATATATATATATATATATATATATATATATATATATATATATATATATATTTGTTTTCTGAGGTTTTCGCGGGTGTTTGTATGTAGGTCTTTGGTTGCAGACCACAGCTGCATCATCAGCCACTTTAAACCCCTCCAATCCATACATGAAGCAAACTGACACCCTCCATGAAGAGGAGACACAACCACGAACGAGAAGCCAAAAAATAGTATCGCATGGAGGATGCGATATGCTGGGAACAGTGGGGGGAAATAAAATTGTGGATGAGATTGGTGGCAAGGATTGTGGGGGGATTGAAGGAGTGACAGGATTGAAGAATGCAAATGAGTGCGATGCGTGCCGGAGGAGTGGAGGAGAGAAAGGTCCCAAGGAACACAGAAAGAAGAATCAATTCAATAGTGCAGAGGACCCTTTAATTTTGAGAAACACACATTGCCTATATGACTCAGGAACTAAAGGGAGGGAGAAAGTGGGTGGTTGTGTGGATGTAAGTAAGAGCTATAAGAAAGAATCACTGAAGGCTGTAAGTGAAGCAAGGATTAGTCGGCCTGGACCTGTTACAAGGTCCATGCGTAGAGTTTAGGTGTGGCTATACTTATAAGCAGGTTTCCTCACTAGCTAGCTTGTATTCTGACAATGATGGCAGGTGCTAGCCATTGAAAGCTAGGTGGATGTAAGTAAGAGCTAAAAGAAAGAATCACTGAAGGCTGTAAGTAAAGTAAGGATTAGTTGGCTTGGACCTGTTACAAGGTCCATGCGTAGGGTTTAGGTGTGGCTATGCTTATAAGCAGGTTTCCTCACTGACTGGCTTGTATCCTGACGATGATGGCAGATGTTAGCCATCGAAAGCTTGATTTTATTTATTAAAACCTTGGTGTTTTACTTCCTGGTGATCGCTTTCCTTTTTTACTGAAATATATATATATATATATATATATATATATATATATATATATATATATATATATATATATATATATATATATATACATTGTCTTAAACTATTCTTATTATTGATCTGCATTATGATATAACATTGAAAATAATAAATGTATAATTAAGTCCTAATATAAATCAAAGATTCAATAAAATACAATATACAAATTGGGGTTGGAGGACAGCTGAATTGTGGTAGGTGGTTGTTTTGATCTTTACTTGCTTTTTTAACATTCAAACAGTGTTTATTTTTCTGAGTTAAATTTTTATAAACCACCTTGGATTGCAGGACAATTTATAGAAAACCCATCTCAGAATCTTTTTTTTTTTTTAGAGTAAAGACTAAAGTAATAAGTGGAAATTAAAGCACAATGGTAAGCACTGCACAAAGAACAGAATCAATGACTTCCATGTCTATCATAATCTCTGCTAGAGCTTACTCTGTCATGTGCAATAGCTCACTAATGCTTAGATGCTTTTATTCTTAGATTAGGGCTTGTTTTGTTTTGATTTGATTCATAGTAGCTAGATTAAAACTTACTCTCCTATTAGAGGAATTGAGTCTGGAAAATAAGTTTTGAAGAAATTCAGCACTTGCTCTCCTGTGGCAAGCTTTTCAAAATCATCAAAGGGCATGAAGAGCGTACAGGTGAATGATTTATCCTATGAATTAAAATAGATAAAATACATGAAAACCTGAAAAGAATTTTGGTTCAGTCTAATCCTAAAACTAGTTCCCTGCAAGATAAAAAAAATAAATATATATTGATTCAGTTTTGTTAAGTTCACTTATTTGAATACACATACACAATACATATACACATATATTTATATGCATCTAAATTCTATAATTTTCTATGTTATTTCTTGAGGCTTTCAGTAAAAAAAAGAGTGTCCCACTCTTTTCAGAGGTACTGCACTTACTTTAGGGGCTTCCCCCATTCCTTGACTGAAATGCTATCCACCTTCTTCAAAAGGTAGAAAACTACAGCAATATATTGTATCTCCATTGCCAAAGGCTTATATTTTATTGGCTCTGTTCATTGCTAGTCAGCCAACCTTCCTGGCTGACAAAGTCTACAGTTTTCTTTATCTTGAGGGTGTTCCTGGGTGATATCAAATAAATGCTGCTTTGGGCTACAGCAACAACAGTATAGCTAAGGATGATTTAAGCCTGATTTACTGATGGATTGGCAAAGAGCTGAAGACAATCTCTTGGGACATAAGAAAATGCTGTTGCCCAGGCATGTTATTAGATGCTTGTGGGGAGATACCCACAAATTTTTATCTGTCATCTTGGTGAACTTGGAGATCATTAAGATGAATGAGATGTTAATCACATTCCAAGGATTTAATAGTTTGAAAATTAATGAAACAGGCATTCAAAAATGAAATATTTATTTATTGCTTGCCCATGTTTGGACAGCAACCATCAGCAATGTCAATCTAGTCATTTTCTTTTATTCCATATTTTTAAAAACTCACCCCAAAACTGTCTGTTAGAAACTAGGTGTGTACAGAATATATTGATGTCATCTGCCCACAGGCAGAGAGAAAGGATGGGCTATGTCAATCTAGTCCAGTGGTTCTCAACCTTTTTAATGCCGCGACCCCCAACCGGTCGTAAGTCAAGGACTACTCAACCGGTCGTAAGTCGGGGACTACTCAACTGGTGCAGCCCTGTTTGCAGAATGGGACTTTTGGCGGGCTCAGCAGGGCAGAGACAGCCTGGACAATTCCTATTGGCTTTTGAAAGCCAATAGAATTAGACTCTATTCAAGAGAGTCTATTCTATTGGCTTTCAAAAGCCAATAGAATAAAAGGGAGTAGCACAGCTAAGGAAAAGGGGGGAAAATGGCGGACTGCGTTGTTTGGTGACCCCCGTGAAATGGTCGTTCGACCACAAATGGGGTCCTGACCCACAGGTTGAGAACCACTGATCTAGTCTATCAAGTCTGTGAAGAAAAACAAGTTGAGCAATGAAATAATTCTTAATCCTGTCGGTTGAAACTAAAGCCAGAAAAGAGAGAGCTGATCTTTTCTAACCTCTGAACCACACACTTCTACTCTATGATTCTGAATTACTGAAGGGTGACTCATGTTTATTTGATTGATTTTGCAGTCAGCCCTCTAGTGATATATTGTAGAATTCAGCAGGAAAACACTTAAAGTTGGGAAAGAAAATAAATCCTTAGAATAGTTTCATTACTGAATCACACCTGTCCAACCTGGGTGGAACAGCAAAAGCTCTTTTTCAATCTATTTTAAGAAATGAAATAGAAAAGTTGGTTTTGGCTGTCATGAGATAGGTTTTGCAATTACTGCATTTTTTATTTGATAAGGCTATCTTTTGGAAGAAAGAAGGGGACATAATAGGTAATAGCTGATATTTAACTCCATCTGTTACACTCTTCCTTCGCCCCCAAAAATGACCATTTGAACTGTTCTTTTCTAGAATATGCTGTACTGCATCACAGAGAAAATAGAAACTTCTGAACTCTTACACACTAACCGAGCTGTCAACGCTGCAAATATTGTATATTCTTGCTTTGACAATATGCAGAACTGTATGGTATTTTTTGGGTGAATACAGAGCAGAAGGGGGGTGGGAGTAAAGCCCGGGAGAGAAAGAGGAAGGAAACCTTTGACCTTCACACTAATTGGATAATGTGATATATGACAGCTAATTTAGGGAGGGAGCATGCTGATAATTTAACTGCTCAGAGGAAGAGAACTTAGATCTTAGCATAAACTTTGTTATGCCTGTGCCGACATTTTGAAACAATAAAAGACTATTAGGGAAATCAATGCCTGGAAGTTCTTTGAAGTGTTTCATTAGCCGGAACCATAACACAAGCTTTTAAAATAGCAATTCTGATGATTGCAATTAATTTAACATCTTAGTGCAGTGTGCAGGTGGTGCTTCCTTCCCTCCACTTTGTGACTCCTCCTAAAATCACCCTTCAGGCTGTAATGAGCTGGGCTGGGAACGCTCTCGTATAAGAGAGAACAGTTGTGAATGAGTGAATCCACCCAGGCAATTCAGTAGTTGGAGTCAGAAATCACCTGCCAGTAGCAATAAGAGAGGATATATGAATGGGAATGAATTAATGAGCCATGACTGGAGTGTAGGAATGGAAATTGTATCAGGAAAAATGTAGACATGCAGTTCCAGGCATGCAATCCCTAACACTATGTGCTTCCAGGAAGCCAGCATTGGCTGGAACTGATTGTCCAGACCAAACCCAGGTTCCAGAATATCAGAGATGAAAGATGCATTAGGTCTCTTACCAGGTTTGGCAGTGCAATCATCATGAATGTGTTCCTAGGCCAAATGTGAAGATAGTTTGCCTCCATTGCAAACTGAAAGAACAAAAAAAGTAATGAAAAGATATCTGTCAATGCCAGTGTACCTTATGAACTGGAAACAGGAGAAACAATGTGAATTTTCACTACCTACATCTCCATTTTTTGGAGGAATTTTCAGTTCCAGGTATCCATGTGGAATATACACTTGGCTGTAATCAAACCGTGTTTGTCTCATAAATTGCTTCCTAACTGTGGAAAAAGCTCCATCACAGCCCACAATTAAGTCACAGGTGACCTCTTTAGTCATTTGGTCTGATCTGTAAGAAAACACAAAAAGTACCATTAGTATGTTTATTCAGTTATTTATAAGGTATAAATAAATATTGCAGTATATTGAGTAGTGATTGATTGTGACTTCTGTTAGCTTAGATCTCTCTTGAAGCACTAAGTTTAAAGAACATACTTTTTTTTCCTACTTGACTCTTTCAGATTTGGGGAAAAGGAAGTAAGGGAAGCTATTTCTGAAACAGGAATTTTGACATCCAATAGTTATCCTAAAATGATTTTTTTAATTTATATTTTAATGTAACAACTACATGTCATTAGATTATATTGACAATAAAATCGAGTTTTAAAAATCAGGTATAATTTGTCAGTCCTATACTCCAATATTATTCATAATGGGTTTTGTGTGAGATGATTTTTTCAAATGGTCATTCCAATATGTTTCCATACATTTCATCTTATAGCTTTATTAGGAGAAGAAGAAGAGGATGAAGAGAAGACTGAGTGAATGCATAAAATTGGCACTTTACATTAGATTTTATTCATTTTAAAAACTTGTGAAAATGGAAATCATTGCTTGCTCATTAACAAATATATCCTGAAGTCAGCAGAAGTCCCTCCATCCAAGAGGTTATATTGTCAGGAATTTATGAAGTGCAGTCCTCTGGTTATTGATTAAACATTTTGTCATGTTTGGTTAAATTGTTAATCTTTGCTAACTTGGGGTGGGAAACCTAATAATTTTTCAATTCACACAAATACAGGCCCCCACAACAGTTGGAAAGAGTCAGTGTGGCCTATTGTTTGGGTACTGATTAATGATTAAAGTGTGCTAGGAAAATTGGAGCCATTTGATTACCCTGAAAAGGTCAGTAGCCCTGAGTCTACTTTGCAGTGAAGCAGTTTGTGCTCAAAGTTTAATTTAACATTGGGATACTTCTCAGCAGCTGTAAATAGAGGAAAAAGAAACAACATGGAATATAAACATTTAGACATTTATTTTCTTAGAGGTAGACATCTGAATAACTGTTTGCAAAAATATTTCTGTAATAAATACATTTATAGAATGTAAAACATTTTTAATCACTTCACTTTTTCCCACCCAGTCCATTCACTAAGATCTCTGTAGTTAGATGTGGGTAATTTGGCTTGACACACATGTGCCAACACAAGATTTGACTTTTCGCACTTGAGGTGATGTATATGCATCCACTTCCTAACTTCCTGCCTTCATCTCAATAATTCTAAATGTTTATTTTGCACCACAGAGACCTATCATATGGTGAAAGCCCACTCCAACATACTAATTACTTGCCCACTGTAAGCTGCCAGGACTCTACCAATTCTGAGCAACTTTCTATTATGCATGGTGAAAGTGCTGTTCTCCTATTCTTGGATGGGGGATGGGTTAGTAACCTCTACCAATGTAACTTTTGCTAGTCTCGTTATTGTTTTTCTGCAGTCTCTTTTTTTGGCTTACCACCAAATGTTTGTGTTCTAAATTCCAGCTTGAATAGAGTCTAATTCTATTGGCTTTCAAAAGCCAATAGGAATTGTCCAGGCTGTCTCTGCCCTGCTGAGCCCACCAAAAGTCCCATTCTGCAAACGGTGCTGCACCAGTTGAGTAGTCCTCGACTTATGACCGGTTGGGGGTCATGGCATTAAAAAGGTTGAGAACCACTGGACTAAATAAACTCTCTGTCTTGTAGTTATTGAAATGTTCAGCTTGTCTGAGCTTGTGGAGGTGTGTTACTTTGAAAAAGTATTTAAACCTAACAATCTGGTGGTTGACAAGCAGCGAGGGCTAATGAGTTAGCGCAGTGGTTCTCAACCTTTTTAATGCCGTGACCCCCAATTGGTCGTAAGTCAAGGACTACTCAACCGGTCGTAAGTTGAGGACTACTCAACTGGTGCAGTACCATTTGCAGAATGGGACTTTTGGCGGGCTCAGCAGGGCAGAGACAGCCTGGACAATTCCTATTGGCTTTTGAAAGCCAATGGAATTAGACTCTGTTCAAGAGAGTCTATTCTATTGGCTTTCAAAAGCCAGTAGAATAAAAGGGAGTAGCACAGCTAAGGAAAGGGGGAAAAAAATGGCAGACTGCGTTGTTTGGTAACCCCCGTGAAATGGTCGTTCGACCCCAAATGGGGTCCCGACCCACAGGTTGAGAACCACTGAGTTAGTGTCTTCAGAGGACTTTGCTGAGGTGCTGATTTTCCCTTCTCTTTCTACAGCATGCATAGACTGCTTGTGGTCTTTGCTCAAGCAAAAGGAGAAAAAGACACTCATTTTAAACAGTAAATAGCACATTCTTCTTATATCTTGACTCTATCTGAGTAATGTTTCTACATCAAACATAACGTAATTTTAAATGTGATAAATTGAGAAAGGATCAAAACTGATTAAGCCACACTTACCAGTTAATAACTCCTTATTCAAATTTGCTCTATCTATAGAGAGAATATACTGTTAAAAAGCAAACAAAACAAACAAAATAAGGCAGAGAATATTTTATATGTTTAACTATATTTGAATATATCCTTGCACACTTTTTCTAATATTTTAGCAATACAAATCTTAGATTCTTTTTCATGACCAGAGACCATGGTTAATAAAGTCCATACCAAATAATTATCATTTTGATCTGCTGGAGGACCCCATATTTTCTAGAACTCTGAGAACAGTGCTGATGGGAATATGATTTCCAGAGTCAAACTTGTTTGTAAGATAGAGTAAGGGAAGTCACAGCACAGACCATAGCAAGTGAGGCTATGAAGAGATGAAGGAAGCCAACAGTTAGAAGAAGCATCTCCAAATACGTAGAAGAAGGCAATAGAAGAGCTCTTCTGTATTTTTACCAAGAGAACCACATGCATGTGGCTGAAACTTTAGGCAAGTTTAGACACCAGATAGTGAGACATCATCACCCCTAGGTCAGAAGGCAATGTTTTGGATACTGGGAAGGAATATTGAATATTCACAGGTAAATCTGGAAGTGAAAAAACTCGCCAGATCAGAATTGCAAGGATATCTAGTCAGTGATGGTACCACCGCTGAAACTATTGGACAAGAGAATGTGAAAAGCATGAACCAAAGAAAACCTGAAATCATCAAAGCAGAAATGAAGCATACTACATTTGATGCCTTAGAATTTTAGACAAACAGGATCTGGCCACTTTAAATCCGATGATTACATTATATACTCTTCAGGATATAAGATCATATGAAGGATCAGAATAGCAATGATGCTCCAGAAGGACAATGCTACATATCAGGGATTCCCAACCCCCAGGCCATGGCCCACTACCGGGCCTTGAGCCTTTTGGAAGCAGGCCGTGGAAGTGGCGGGTGAGCACACATGCTTATGCATCCCCACTTGCATGAGCAGCGGATAAGCAAGTACATACACTCTCCATATGCTCAAGCAGCGAGTGTGTGCGCCTGCCGCTCATGCAAATGGAGTTGCGCGCGCACATGCTTGTATCCCCTCTCCCCTCCCCACCAGTCCACGAAGCCAGAAAGCTTGGGCAATTCTGCTATATATGCTTAGTTAACTCAAGGACAGGACAGAAATGTTATCTATTAGAATTAGTGGATGCCCAGCAACCATTAGTGTAATAAAATGTAATGGTATAATAAATTATTATAAATGCAAAGGTGTGTGAGAAGTCAGCTCCCCAGAGAAGGAAATATTAAAAGGGCAGAAAAATATATTTCCTTCAAGGATCTTAAAGAGACAGAAAAGCATGTCCAGTTTTCCTTGATAGCCCAAGATCTCCCTCCCCCAAGCAGAAACCAGCCCTGTACAAATGAAAATGTAAACTGTTCTGTTCTGAGCATTGGTAAGGCATTGAGATGAGGCAGGAGTAACAACAGTTGCTTCCTTATTCAATCTTCAACAGAACAACACAAAATCGCGCAGATCCCTTTTATACCCTTCTGCAGGGAGCAGCATCAACCAATCAATGCAACGTATTTTTCCCACCTTGTGCATGCACAATTGGTTGGAGACAGCCTGTCTGGCCTGGGCAGCCTCGTGGTCTGCCCGGGACTCTCTGCAGCTTCCTGCACCTGCTGTGACAATCACAGCCCAGGACATAACACCCCTCCCCTCTTATTTCAAAATACATAGAACTTGCTATTTTACATTACTACAAATCTAACACCTTTTCAATTCTTTTGAGCATGTTCTGATTTCTAAGGAACTGTTAAGCCTGCCCATCTACTAACAGGAACTTCACATAGTCCTGCAAATGCTTTGGTGGGCCTCTGGCCCACTCTGATCTTCTTGGAGCGGTTGCAAGTGCCCGGTCTACAAGCTCACCTGCCAGGCTCGGCAGACCGGGACTTTGATGCGCACTAGGTACAGGCGGTACCTAGTGGTCTGCCCGGGACTCTCTGCAGCTTCCTGCACCTGCTGTGTCAATCACAACCCAGGACATAACATAAACCATCAGGAAAGTTGGAGCCAGGAGATCAAGAGGACAAAGACCTAAAATCTGCATACCCCACCCAAACTCTAGGAGCCATTAGCCCCATCACTAAGGAAGCAGGATATGATAATAGGACTAACCCATCACCATAAAGAATACCAGAGAGGCACACCTAAACTCAGGTCAGAATATGTGTCACAGGAAATAGCCTCAAAGTTAATACCACAGGAACAGGAACCACTTCAAACAAAAGGCTAGAGAGGGAATAAAAACCTCATAATGGGTTTTGTGTGAGATGGGCTCAGGCCCTTCTCTTCTCTGGTTTTTTCTGCAAGAACCATCTTTCTGTTTCTTCAATAAACTGCAAGCTTCTTCGCGAAGCAGTCGCCATGTTGTTTATTTATCCCTGGCTTGAATGAACCAGGATGAAGACCTTTCTTTCAACAGGTGAAAGGCATTTAGGAATTCTAAGGCAAGTTACATGAAATGCTTAATACATTATCAAGCAAGCGCATAGGACTATTAATGGGCAAATAGAATATAAATATTTGAAAAATGGAAGAAGCTAGAATTAGAGGAAAATTTGGAATGCAGGAGATAGGTTGGGAAAAAATGTTTTGCTTATTCCCAACCATTGCTTTATGAAATATAAACACAGACTCTACACACAGGGATTATCAGATGCAAACCTATGTCATGGGACACAAAAAATGGAGAAGCGTATGCCACCCAGCCAGGTATTTCCAGGTACAGACTGTCAAACAGATAATGAATTTCCACTGTCAAATATAAGGATTAAATTGAAGAGAGTAAATGTGCCAGCAAGAAAGAAATAGAATTGACATGCTTAATTCATGTGAAACAGAACCTAATGAAGTAGGGGATGAGAAAAAAGATACTCTGAAAGCAAAAATGGGAAAAAAAATTCCAAAATTTCAAAGAAGAAAATATCCAAGCGGCTTTCAAAACAAACCTTCGTTATAGACAACAAAGGACGATAGATTTGGGTATCAAGAAGAACCAACAAATGACAAGCAAGAAACAGCAAGGTAGGGTATCTCAATCAGGAATCCCAACAAATAGAAGTAAAAAAAATTTAAGAAAGAGATGCTTTAATGGTCAAATACATCATAATGTATTGTATTACATAATATTGTATTATGTAATATTGTAAGCCACCCAGAATCATCTTGGACAGCGAGACAGGGTGGCATATAATATATATATATATATATATATATATATATATATATATATATATATATATATATATATATATATATATATATATAAAGTTGCCACTACGATAGGAATGCTTTGACTAATTTAATAGAAGCAGATGAAGATTAAACTGAACCCCTTTACAAACGAGATTGCAAAATGACAGAAGCTTTAGCACAGAAGGAACATATTCAGGAAATGATTTCTCTAGAAAGTGAGGTACAAAGGAAAGTACATCAGTCATCAAATAGAAAATTATGTACAGTTACAGAAGAAGAGGAAGTTAAAGTAGCTAATATCTTTGTTTGAAGAAGATGGCACAGAGGCTGAAAAGGGGTGGAATCAAAATAGGTATCCAAAACACAATTTAAGTGGTAAGGTAGCCTATATCACTCTGTTTCTTAAAAATAGAGAAGAACTGGAAGAGCCCATTTTGAAGGCTACCAAATCAAGGTTGCAATATTTTAGAATTGCTGTTGAATTTCTAGCAAAGTTTACATGAAATTACTGTACAGTATAGACTATTTGTATGAATTGCATTGAATTTGAGCCTCATCTATGGAGACAACATTTTGATTTTCACTTCTAATCCAGTAACATTTATTCATCAATGTCTGCATTATTTGAATATATATGTGAGTCCCCCAAATTTCATTCCATTCTTCCAATATGCTATCACATTTTAGAAAAAGGGAGAGAGAGAGAACAAGAATACATATATAAGAGCAAGGATGATTGTTATAGGCTAGATTAGGATAACTAGTCCACAGGTGTATCTTTCTATCCTCTTCTAGACAAAGCAATATAACAAAAGGGAAATCTACTGTGTGCCATGCACGCCTGCTGATCCCACTTTTCACTGAGAGCAATGCTAAAGATCGGTACAATGTTGGAAGAGGCCATTTGTGTCCTCTTACTTCCAGAAAATAGACAGCAGTGCCTCTGTTCATAATAGTAGCCGGCTTTTCATTAGTCACATCATACAAAAGTATGCAAAAATAAAACACAAAAGTTAACGTGTTTTGACTGATTTAACATACCTGGCTTTTTGTTCCATAAAAAATTGTATACCTTTTCCCTGAGCAAGTGTGAATTCTCCTTCCCTTCATGGGGATGCCTTTAGACACAATCTGAAATGTAAAAAAAGGGATTTTTTTAAATATTGAAATTGTTTTAATGCTGCATGCAATTTCTTCTTATATTGAGGGGAGGGGCAACATGACCAGTGAAACAAAGTTAAAAAACAGTGGTCTCTGAATATTGTTTGGTTTGGAAGCAAATTAGTTTTAACTATGGTGGAGTACTTTTTTAGAAACTTGAAATGTTTTGGCAGCCCTTTTATGAAAAGCAAGCATCGCTCCTTATCAGAGACTGTATCATATTCTCAAGCTCAAATGTGCCCACTTGCCTAAGTAGGTTTGTAACTCAGCTGTCAGAGAGAAGAAGGAATCAACCTACTCCAAAGCATCTGAGGGCAGAAAATGAAGTGTTGGGTGGAAGATAATTAAAGAGAGATCCAGCCCAGAACTAAGGAGAAATTTCCTGAAAGTGAGAACTATTAACTTGTGGAATGGCTTGCCTTCAGAAGGTATGGATGCTCCATCACGGGATATTTTCAAGAAGAGACTGGACAGCCATTTGTATAGAAAGGTATAGGGTCTGCTGCTCAAGTAGGGGACTTGACTAGAAGACCTCCAAGATCTCTTCAAACCCTATTATTCTATGTTCTATAAGTTCTATCTGTACTGACTTGCAACATATCCTCCTATCCTTGTTATTATTGATAATCCAGAGTCATTGCACATGAGATGGGCAGCAAATAAATTTAATAATTGATTAATTAATAAATAATCTTTCTATCTAAAATTTAACAATTCAAGACTGCCCTCAAAATGATCACCGGCCATATTCTACCCCTGTTAATTTTCTGTTGCATATTGTATATACGTTTGTAGTTTTCTCCTGCCTGATAATTAAAACATCCAAAAGGGAGATGGAATAATTCCCTCTTAAATTAATCTATTCTCATAGTCAAAAGTTAATACTTTCTTCCAGCATTTCAGTTCTTCCTTCCATTTATTCCATGTTTTGCAACTGCCACAGCTCATGGAGCATTGGGCTGTAAAGGATGCTGAGAATTCTCTGCTTCTCTGGATGTTGCTAAGCGCCTTCTCTACCAGCACAGATGCTTCTTCAAGAACCACAGGAGCTTTCCATATATGTCAAGACATCATGGAGCATCTCAGAAAGGTTCAAGTAATCCAAGACTGGAAGTCCCCAAGGAAAGAAAAAGAGATGTGTAGTGGTTTTGGGAGTTCACAAACATCTACCACCTATCTTGCCTTCTCACACCTTGCTGCTCCCATGTCTAAACTACTCTAAGAGCCTTTCCTAGGGGGTCATGAAGTGCAGTGGAATTTCCATTGCCTAAAGGCAATGTTTGTGTCATTCCTCCTTCTACACCAGTCTACCTCTTCATGGTTGAGGCCAGTGTCTCCAGTATGACTATTATAGCAGTCTTCCTGAACCCCACACCACCAATCTACCAGCCTTGCCCTTTCATTCAAAGAAGCTGATCCTGGCTGAAGTCAACTATATCATCTGAGAGAAAGAACTGCTTGCTATCAAAGATACCTTCACATTGTCCAGTCTGTCATCAGGCTAATTATATCTTGTTAGAAACTATTGGGCTCTTTCAAACTATCAGTGTCCTCAGGCCCCTGGAAGATCCCTTCCATGGACTTTATTACCACTCCTGAGGATTTGCCACCAAATGATGGTGGTGGATCATTTCACTAAAATGGGGCACTTCATCCCTTTCAAGGATCTTAACTACCAAGGGGATTGCCAATCTGTTTTTCCATCATCTTTTCAGATGTATAGCTTGCCTATTTGTATTACCTGTATCTTTATTATATGGTCTATTTCACTGGCAGGTTCTGGAACATGGATCTCTACCTGTCCATTACATATCATTATCTAAACTGTACACCATTCATAACATATTCCACTAAAAAGTACTGGCAGTCAAGGAATAATGTGAACCCCCAATGGCTTGTGGACTTTCATCAAGCAAGACCATCCCTGAAAAGTCAATGACTGAATTCCTGCAAAGTCAAACACAATAGCTAACAGTATGATGTATAGTTCTGTAGAGAGTATGACTTTGATGGGGATATGCAAGCTTTGTTGCCAAGGCAACAAGGGATAAAAGATATCCAGAATGTCCTGATAATGCTTGGAAGTATCTTAGAAAAAAAAAACCTCCCCAAGTTACTGAAATATGAAGAGGTACAGCGTAGCAAAGTGTGACTTGCAAGATTCTAGTATCATAGCTAATCTCAAAATTATAAAAGTAGTTGTAGGCTACCAGTGGAGTTGATTTTTTTTCTCTGTTCTATCTAGTGTGGCTGACAGTCCCTTTCTCATCTGGCACAGATCAATCCCATCACCTAAAGCTCTTACTTCCACCTTTCCTTTTCATAATTCCTCTTCTGTTTCCTTGAATCTGCCTGCACACATACTTCTCATCCTGCCCTGCTCTTGGTGCGCACCTCTGATCCAAGCCCCCTTTTGGTGTGGTGCTCAACTCCAACTCCTCTGCAAACTTTGTATGCTGTACCCACACTGTGCCTATACTCTGCCTGGTGACTAATCCAGCTTCTGGAAAATGACATCAGCCTGCTTTTCAATGTGAGATACAGAGATAGGGGCATTACAATAAATGACTGGGTTTATTAAAATATATAAGTATATATTATTTGTAAATGTTTACGTTATGGTGGACAAAATCCTTCATACTCTGCCCTAGAAATGTTATTATAAATAAACAAATAAATAGTCCTCCTATAATCCACCAGCCACAGAGAATGTTAGATCTTTATCTTTAAGGTCACCTGATCTTCCATTCCAACTGCCTTGAGAGCTTCCCGTCCCCTGTGAGACAAGGCCAAATTAATGCTCCTGCCACGAGTTACACTTGAACTACGGATATCTGAAAAGAAATGAACCATTTATTATATACATTCAGATATTATAATTACTAGTATGAAAAATGTTCATAATTCCTTTTACTCACTTTCCAAATATTGACTTGTGCCAGGGTAGAATTATGCAATTTTTCCCATTAAGGATAGCAGAAGAGTATGCTTGGCATGTTTATTTATAATTTATTTATTTATAAAATGTATTGGCTACCCATCTTACCTTAGGGTAACTCTCTATTGTACCTCATGATGGGCATCCTTTTTGTGGTGGGAGTATCAGTCTGTATGACTGAAAACATGTATAATGAAAACAACCCCAGGGCAATTTTTCTGCCCTTTGGGGAATGGCTTTACACAATGGGGAGTTGAGGGGTTTCATTGCAATGTTGTTTACATCATTCTGACTCTCTTGCCCTCCCTTTTTGAATGTTGAAGGACAATGGATTGCTTTTCAAACACAGAGATTCAATCTCCCCCGCCCACACACACACACACACTATTGATTCCATAGGATTTGCTGACCTCCTTCTTGTGCATGACACCAGCCAGAAGAAAACATCTGGTCACAGAACTGCAGAAGGGTCTGCCTGTATCTCTTTTCCTCTGCCCCCTCCCCGCCCCAGCACTTTTTTTGTTATCTGAGTAGAATTGTTTTTTTAAAACAGTATTGAATCACCAGCAATGTAAAGAATGAAGCTAGCGTTTTTTTTTTTCTGCTTGATCAAAACACTCAGCAAGCATAAATGCAGCCACACACACACTCCGGGTTGTGAACCCATTTCAACTTATCACCAAGAAAGCAGAACTCTTGAAGCAGGCATTGTCTCAAAAGGAACTTTTATTAGGGACTAGTGATAGCAGGGAGTGTAAGGCGAGATCTGAAGAAAAGCCCGTGTGAATGATATAATTAAAGCAAGCAATATGCCCTCTCCCATCAAAATCATAATGTCCGTTTGAACTCCAGCCAATCCACAGGTGGCTCGATGGCCGTCTGACTGGTACGGTAGGCGTGCATCTCAAGGTCTTCTCCAGCTTTTGTTTCCTTGCAACTGTCTCCTGGATAAGGAGATGCATTCCATACTCAAAAGCAGGAGGCCAGACAAAGAAAGAGGAAAGCGAAAGTTACCAACATATTTCCCCATGCATCCCCCTCCCCCAACAGAATGGCAGGCCCCAAAAGAATAGAAGGCAAAAGAGAATAGGCGAGGAGTTTTGGGGTCTGACACTAAGTTTCAGCCAATAATTGGTTTTAATGAGCTAAATTCTTACCGCTTAACAGTCTTCTAAGTTGAGGGCTGAATTGGGCACCTAGGATAACACTCTGAAAACTAATCTCAGAAATATTATATTGTTTGAATTGCTTGGAGGGCTTGGAGAACTAATAGGATAGAATTCCCCCTTTTTGAAAAGAAAAACCTGACAATGGCTGGTGGACTTCCCATCTAGGCTCTTGAAGACCCTGATTCTAGCAAGACAACTGAATATTTATATGATTTTATCTTCTCAATTTTGAGTTTATTAACATACCAAGCATATACTTTGGCTTTGGACCACACCATTTCCTTGTTCTTGGACTCAAACAATGCTGTATTTTTTCACAGTGTAATACTTGTCACTCTACTTCTCCATCCTCAATTCTGTATTCATAGGCAACATGATTGAACATACAGATTTTTCTTCTGTTTTTAAAATCACACTTCGGATAAAAGAAAGATTCTACAATTTTTTACTGATTGTGTATTTTTGATCAATGCATTTGGGTATAAATTTGCTGATGTGAACTTTAGAAGCAGGTCCTATTGCTCCAACTTGCAAATATAAGGATAACTGATGTGCTGTGTTTGATATGAAAAATCTAAACCATCACTTTAAAGTATTATTGTAAATAATGTTAATTATCAAAGTCTCTTGGTGATTTAATACTATAAAATCTCACTTCTGAAAAATGAGAAATTTCAAAAACAACATTCCAGTGAGATTTGCAAACATCCATATAAGTAGGGTTATCATTCTAAAATGTTAATGTATTATCAAGTACAGATCATACCTGATCTTGCTTCATACATTTCTACTTGGAATCCCCTTCTTGCAAAGAAAGAAGCACTTAGAGAACCCACCTGCAACAGAAGCATTGCAGTGTTTTTTGAGTCAAAAACAAAAATATACTGAAAAGGATTTGGGGGAATGCTACATGATTTTAAAATGCATACTGCATCTAAAGCCTTTTCTGTAGTGGGGAATCAAGTCAATCAAATTCCCCCCCAATTGAAATGTTTGTGTGATCCAGACTTGACAAGATGTTGATAAAATGTAAACGTTGAGGGACTTTCCTTTGCTAGAAATAATGTGAGGATTTTGAATATGCCACTTCATTGTTTCTATCCACAAAAAGAAGTTCCTTTTACAAAAAGAGTCATGAAATGCAGTGAATAAGGAAACTATTTAATCATTGTTTCTCATAACAGTCAAAGCAAGTTGAAAAATATGTTTTTGCCTTGTTATAATGTTTTCATTTTTGTGTCATGTTTTATTTTATGTTTATTTATCTGTCACACAAGCACTCTCAACTCTGTATTTAAGGCATGTCTCTGGAATTGCTTTCTTTTTTAACTTGTCCAAAACCACAAATTTTACCAACTTTTTTTATGCACAGAACCTTCCCAGTTAGGAGAAATTGGCTCTACTGAGTTGCTGCCATTCACGTCACAATATCACAGAAACTTTTAAGGAACAGACAAATGTCCTTGTTGTTTATGGGCCATATTCTAATTTTCATATTACTTTATTCTTATTTCTTTAGACACAGGGGAGACTTTATCTCTTTTAACAATAAAACAGGCCACTGTCACTTGTCCTTAATAACAAATTTTTCAGAAAGTTTCAAGAAGCTAAGTCCTATACAGAATCAAAATAAATTTCTTCCAATTCATTTTTATTAAAATAAATAACATTTCTCTCTCTCTCTCTCTCTCTCTCTCTCTCTCTCTCTCTCTCTCTCTCTCTCTCTCTCTCTCTCTCTCTTTCTCTCTCTCTCTCTCTCTCTCCTACACATAAATTCATGCCATCCGATACTCAGCAGTCATGGAAGATCGTATGATAGCTTCCTGATTTCTGCAGATTGGTGCCAATTAAAAATTAAAATGGTGTTCCAAAATATCCAATGGAATTTCAGTAGCTACAATTTACAGGGGAGAACTGCTGAAAACAAACAGGGCCAGCATTCCTACAAATACATTTCAAAAGCCATTGAGAAGCCCATATGATAAAGTGAAAATGAATGATGACATCCTTGTGAGTATACATAGCTAAGAAGATATGAAAGCAATTCTTTATCAGCACAGAATGTGCAGCTATTTTCAGCTTAAACAGATTTTTACATTTCACACTAACGCCCTCTTAAAGGCTTAAACATTTTCTGTCAAATAGACCTTTTTAGAAGATTTCCTGTTTCATTCAAATACAAAAAAAATAGCCACTATTCAACACCTAGCAACGATGATTAAGAAATGGTTTGCAATTCTGCTCAGTGACCATAATAAAAATTTTATATTTTTATAATATTTTAAAAGATCTTACCAATCCTCCCCCAACAATAGCTACTTTTTTTCTCTGTGTATTAGGAGAATCCATGGTTTGAATGTCTCTCCTTTGACTAGGCAAAGAGAGTCTGTACCCTCTTCTTGCATTCAGCAGAAAATCTTTTGCAAGGGAGGGGAAAGAGGAGGCTCCCTTCAGTTCTATGACCAACCAGATTTTGCTGAAGCAGATGACATTTTGACATCAGTTCTTCTTCGGTTGTTCATTCTGTAATACAACTTCCAGCAGTAGAATGATAGGTTACCCCTTCCCCACTGCCTCCAAGACAAGATATTTAAATCTGAACTTGGGTATCTGTTGCCTATACAGGTAATCCTCAACTTACAACCATAACTGAACTCAAAATTTCTGTTGCCATGCAAGACAGGTAAGTGAGTTTTGCCTAGTACCAAGATCAGATCTCTTTGTTCTGGAAAGGTATAAAAAGTGGAAGACATCTTTCCTGGTTGTTGCCTTCATCTCTCTACCAGCCACGAAGAGAGATGGGGTCACCCAACTCTATTTTGATCAAAATAAAAGTTGTTTGCTTGCTGAAACCTCAGCTCAGGAGTTTCTTTGGCTCTTTTAAATTCCTGAGTAATGCTGGGGCAATTGTGAGGCTAAGTGGAAAACCTTACAACATTTTTAAAAACCCACCCCAAAACTGTCTGTTAGAAACTAGGTGTGTACAGAATATATTGATGTCATCTGCCCACCGGCAGAGAGAAAGGATGGGCTATGTCAATCTAGTCTATCAAGTCTGTGAAGAAAAACAAGTTGAGCAATGAAATAATCCTTAATCCTGTCGGTTGAAACTAAAGCCAGAAAAGAGAGAGCTGATCTTTTCTAACCTCTAAACCGCACACTTCTACTCTATGATTCTGAATTACTGAAGGGTGACTCATGTTTATTTGATTGATTTTGCAGTCAGCCCTCTAGTGATATATTGTAGAATTCAGCAGGAAAACGCTTACAGTTGGGAAAGAAAATAAATCCTTAGAATAGTTTCATTACTGAATCACGCCTGTCCAACCTGGGTGGAACAGCAAAAGCTCTTTTTCAATCTATTTTAAGAAATGAAATAGAAAAGTTGGTTTTGGCTGTCATGAGATAGGTTTTGCAATTGCTGCATTTTTTATTTGATAAGGCTATCTTTTGGAAGAAAGAAGGGACACAATGGGTAACAGCTGATATTTAACTCCATCTGTTACACTCTTCTTTCACCCCCAAAAATGACCATTTGAACTCTGTTCTTTTCTAGAATATGCTGTACTGCATCACAGAGAAAATAGAAATGTCTGAACTCTTACACACTAACCGAGCTGTCAACACTGCAAATATTGTATATTCTTCTTTTGACAATATGCAGAACTGTCTGGTATTTTTGGGGTGAATACAGAGCAGAAGGGGGGTGGGGGTAAAGCCCGGGAGAGAAAGAGGAAGGAAACCTTTGACCTTCACACTAATTGGATAATGTGATATATGACAGCTAATTTAGGGAGGGAGCATGCTGATAATTTAACTGCTCAGAGGAAGAGAACTTAGATCGTAGCATAAACTTTGTTATGCCTGTGCTGACATTTTGAAACAATAAAAGACTATTAGGGAAATCAATGCCTGGAAGTTCTTTGAAGTGTTTCATTAGCCAGAACCATAACACAAGCTTTTAAAATAGCAATTCTGATGACTGAAATTAATTTAACATCTTAGTGCAGTTTGCAGGTGGTGCTTCCTTCCCTCCACTTTGTGACTCCTCCTAAGATCACCCTTCAGGCTGTAATGAGCTGGGCTGGGAACGCTCTCGTATAAGAGAGAACAGTTGGAGGAGTCAGAAATCACCTGCCAGTAGCAATAAGAGAGGATATATGAATGGGAATGAACTAATGAACCATGACTGGAGCGTAGGAATGGAAATTGTATCAGGAAAAATGTAGACATGCAGTTCCAGGCATGCAATCCCTAACACTATGTGCTTCCAGGAAGCCAGCATTGGCTGGAACTGATTGTCCAGACCAAACCCAGGTTCCAGAATATCAGAGATGAAAGCTGCATTAGGTCTCTTACCAGGTTTGGCAGTGCAATCATCATGAATGTGTTCCTAGGCCAAATGTGAAGATAGTTTGCCTCCATTGCCAGTGTACCTTATGCCAGTGTACCTAATGAACTGGAAACAGGAGAAACAATGTGAATTTTCACTACCTACATCTCCATTTTTTGGAGGAATTTTCAGTTCCAGGTATCCATGTGGAATATACACTTGGCTGTAATCAAACCGTGTTTGTCTCATAAATTGCTTCCTAACCGTGGAAAAAGCTCCATCACAGCCCACAATTAAGTCACAGGTGACCTCTTTAGTCATTTGGTCTGATCTGTAAGAAAACACAAAAAGTACCATTAGTATGTGTGTTCAGGTATTTATAAGATAAATAAATATTGCACTATATTTAGTAGTGATTGATTGCAGAAACCAGCCCTGTACAAATGCAAATGTAAACTGTTCTGTTCTGAGCATTGGTAAGGCATTGAGACAAGGTAGGAGTAACAACAGTTGCTTCTTTATTCAATCTTCAACAGAACAACACAAAATGGCGCAGATCCCTTTTATACTCTTCTGCAGGGAGCAGCATCAACCAATCAATGCAACGTATTTTTCCCACCTTGCGCATGCGCAATTGGCTGGAGACAGCCTGTCTGGCCCGGGACTCTCTGCAACTTCCTGCACCTGCTGTGTCAATCACAGCCCAGGACATAACACCCCTCCCCTCTTATTTCAAAACACATAGAATTTGCTATTTTACATTACTACAAATCTAACACCTTTTCAATTCTTTTGAGCATGTTCTGATTTCTAAGGAACATTTAAGCCTGCCCACCTACTAATAGGAACTTCACATAGTCCTGCAAATACTTTGGTGGGCCTCTGGCCACTCTGATCTTCTTGGAGCGGTTCCAAGTGCCCAGTCTACAAGCTCGCCTGCCAGGCTTGGCAGACTGGGGTTTTGATGCCCACTAGGTACAGGCAAACCCACATCATGCTGACTGGCCGGGTCCTGTAAACCCAGACCAGAGTTTCTTGGTGGGTGGAATTCCCCAGATCCATGACAGACCCCTCTTGGGAGCACTGTCCTGTAGGCACAAAGCCAGGAGACGGAGTGGCCTGAACAGCCGGTTGCATGCAATGTCCCCTGGACCCAGTGCCAGAGTCAGGAGATGCCTCATTGGCAAAACCCCTATGTGCTGAGTGCAAACCCCCGCTTTCGCAGGAAGACTGAGATCCACAATCGTGGTTATTGTTGAGTCCGTGGCGGAAAACAGACACGAGAAGCAGCTGGAGTTCTCAGTTTCATTTATTCAGCGTTCAGCTTACAGGAAGATGGCTTCAGCCTCGCCCAAACGCCTCGCAGCCTCTTATATAGGCAACTCCCGGGTAAATGGGTTACTTTTCCCGCGCCAGCACCCGCGCATGCGCACGGCGCTGGCGACAGCCTGTCTGGTCCCGGGCAGCTTTGCACCTGCCCGGGACTGCCTGCAAACGCCCGAGCCGTTTGCAAAGGCTCGGGACATAACACCCCTTTCCCCCGGGCTAAAACTACTACCAACATACAACATTTATTTTATACGACATTTTGCTCCCCAATGTTCCCACTGTTTACTGGCTTTTGCTTTGCCAGCAATGTTATGTAGTCTTCTAGGTACTTGGGAGATTTCTTTGCTCTCTGTGACCTTCTTAGCTCTGGATTACTGGCATAATTCCCCTGACTGGAGGGAGGCGTGAGCCTGTTCTCTCTATTGTGCCCTGGTGTCTTCCAAGGACTGTGCCCCGATGCCTGGCCTGCTTGCTTGCCCACCGGGCTCGTCAGGCCAGGGCTTCTGTTACTTTGTGACCTGGTTGACCTACCTAGCTGTAGACCCTCAGGCCCCTTGAAGTGATAGCCGCTGCTGGGCGTCTCTGTAGAACCTCCTAGGTCAGTCCAAGACCTGTCAGGAGGCTGTCCATTCCCTGAACCCCATTCTGTGTTCGGGCTCGTGTGGGTTTCTGTACTTTCCCAAAACTCAGGTGTTCCCTGATTTGTGCTAGGGTTGTTGTAGTCGGGACTTGGTTCCTCGACTAACTCTGTGTATGTTTGACCCCCTGTAGGATTTGGGGTAAGGTCAGGCCAACCTTGGGAATTGTGTGCCAGCTCTCTTGCGGGGAATGATTTGTTGGGATGCCCCCGGGTATCCTCCGTTGCTGGAGTGCTGTGTGATGTGTGTGGAAAGTGAGTATGCCCCCGGGGTGACTCCCTGGCTGGAGTAGGCGTGAGTGCCTGTTGTGTGGGTAAGCTCCATGACTTTCTTTTCGGAGCAATTGCAGAACCTTGGGACGAGCCGTTTGTGGCTCCCTCAGTGGAGATGGGCAGTAGCTCTTGCCCTTCCCTTTGCTCCAAAGGGTCCCCCTCCCCCCCTGGAAAAGACCCAGGAGTCTCAGCAGAAAAGTCTCGCCTAGAGCGAAGTTGGTCGATGTGCCGACGCAGGACACGACCGTTGTCCAGGGCAACCTCGTAGGAGAGAGGACCTGTGATCCTGGACACAGAAGCGGGGACCCATGTATGACCAGGCCCGTAATTGCGAGCCCAAACCGGGGCACCCACAAGTAGTTGTCTAGGTGCCCTAGGATGTGAGGTAGATGAAGGCAGTCTGTCCGGATGCAACCGGTCAAGTCTAGTAGTAAGTTGGCGCCCCCAACGAAGTTCAGCTGGACTTCTCCCTGTAGAAGTGGACGGTGTGGTGCGATAAGAAAGGAGAAAGTCAGCCAACCTGTGATGCCAGTCCCCGTAGGTGAGTCTCTTCAAGGCGTCCTTTGCGATGCGCACCATGCGTTCAGCCATACCGTTGGTGGACGGGTGAAAAGGCGCAGACGTGGCATGACGAATCAGGTTTGCCTGTAAGAAAGCTTGGAATTCGGAGGAGGTGAATTGAGGGCCCGTTGTCGGACACAATGACATCTGGCAGCCCGTGTGCAGCAAAATCCCCCTCAGTACCTGAAATGTCTTTGCAGTGTGGTGATGATACAGGCACAACCTCAAGCCATTTTGATGGCTGTCACAAGGACCAAGATAACTGGCACGCTGAAAGGGCCCACGTAGTCAATTGCACCCTTGGACCATGGGGACTGTGTTTCCATCCCATCTTGGCACAGGAGCTTGGGGCATCTCTGGGCGAGATCGTTGGCACATGTGGCATGCTTGTACCTTAGCCTCAATATCTTTATCTAAAGCAGGCCACCACAAGTGGCTGCGTGCAAGAGCCTTCATACGAACAATGCCAGGATGACCCTCGTGGAGGGATTCTAAGACCCTAGTCCTCATTGAGGTGGGAATGACAACTCTGTTTCCCCAAAGCAGACAACCCTGAGAAAGGGACAGTTCGTTTCCTTTTGGACCAGAAACTCTGAAACTCAGGACTAGGGCAGTGCTCAGGCCACCCGGACAGGACCCAGGAGCGGACACGTGAAAGTGTGTGATCTGTACCTGTTTCAGCGGTAACATCCCTGGCACTAAGAGGGAGCTCGGGCAAGGCTTGGA